AGAAACTAGGTCCCTAGGGGTTCGGTCAGACCCCAGGGTCTATTCTGATATCATGATTGCATTCGTCTCTTTATGCCCAGCATTTGTATATATAGTTTTGGGGTGGGGATCTCAACCGTTTTAAAGTTATGGCCCAGGGACTATGTCTCCAAGGGTGGGGCCAGACCCTAGGGACATCCTGGAAGCAAATGTGCATTCTTCTCTTTATACTCAGCAATTGTATATATGGTTATATGGTGGGGATCTCAACCATTTCCAAGTAATACATTTTATTGGCCCCACCCCTTAGCCCGGGGGGTCAGTCCCACCATTTGTACAATTTTGAATCCCTGCCTCCCATGAATACTTCCAACCAAATATAATCAATATCCATGGCATAGTTCTGCAGAAGAAGTCGTTTATAGCAATATAACCAAATTGCCCCCTCCCCTCAGCCCCCTGGGGGGTCAGCACAACCGTTTGTACAATTTTGAATCTCCACCACCTAGAGATGCTTCCAGTCAAATAAGGTTGATATTCACTTCTTAGTTCCAGAGAAGAAGTCGCTTAAAGCAGAATGGCCAAATAACCTTTTTGGCCCCGCCCCTCAGCCCCTTGGGGGGTCAGCCACACCATTTGTACAATTTTAAATCCCTGCCTCCCAGGAATGCTTTTGATCAAATATGATTGATATCCAGTGCACAGTTTTACAGAAGTCATTTGTAGCAATATAGCCAAATTGCCCCCTTTTGGCCCCGCCCCTCATCCCCACCATTTGTACAATTTTTAATCACCACCACCTAGGGATGCTTCCAGTCAAATATGGTTGATATCCACTTCTTAGTTCCAGAGAAGAAGTCGCTTAAAGCAGAATGGACAAATAACCTTTTTGGCCCCGCCCCTCAGCCCCCTGGGGGGTCAGCCCGACCATTTGAACAATTTTGAATCCCCACCACCAAGGTATGCTTCCAGTCAAATTTAGTTTAATTCCAACCAGTGGTTAAGAAGAAGAAGTCGTTTAAAGAAATTGTTGACGTACGTACGTACGACGGACGCCACGGTATGGCATAAGCTCACCTTGGTCCTTCGGACCAGGTGAGATAAAAATGACAACATGCAATTTGAGACAAAAATGGCGTCAGTTATGGGATTTATGTCTGATATAAATAGAAATTTAATCTACTTCTTACACCAAATGACATTTAGCTAAAGTCAAGCCTTGTTAATGCAGCCTCAGCCAACATTAATTCTGTTGTCCATGAAACTATCAAGACACTATTATCCTGTTGTCCCACTACCTAGCCACCACTAAACCTGTTGTCCCACTACCTAGCCACCACTAAATCTGTTGGTTGTCCTACTACCAAGCCACCACTAAACCTGCTGGTTGTCCTACTACCAAGCCACCACTAAACCTGCTGGTTGTCCTACTACCACGCCACCACTAAATCTGTTGGTTGTCCCACTACCAAGCCACCACTAAACCTGTTGGTTATCCTACTACCAAGCCACCACTACACCTGTTGGTTGTCCCACTACCTAACCTGATGTCCTACTACCTAGCCACCACTCAACCTGTTGGTTGTCCCACTACCTAACCTGATGTCCCACTCCCTAGCCACCACTAAACCTATTGGTTGGTCTATTACCTAAGCTGATGTCCCACTACCTAGCCACCACTAAACCTATTGGTTGGTCTATTACCTAAGCTGATGTCCCACTACCTAGCCACCACTAAACCTATTGGTTGTCCCACTACCTAACCTGATGTCCCCCTACCTAGCCACCACTAAACCTGTTGGTTATCCTACTACCAAGCCACCACTACACCTGTTGGTTGTCCCACTACCTAACCTGATGTCCCACTTCCTAGCCACCACTAAACCTGTTGGTTGTCCTACTACCTTGCCACCACTAAACCTGTTGGTTGTCCCACTACCTAACTTGATGTCCCACTACCTAGACACCACTAAACCTGTTGGTTGTCCCACTACCTAACTTGATGTCCCACTACCTAGACACCACTAAACCTGTTGGTTGTCCCACTACCTAACCTGCTGTCCCACTACCTAGCCACCACTAAATCTGTTGGTGGTCCTACTACCAAGCCACCACTAAACCTGCTGGTTGTCCTACTCCCAAGCCACCACTAAATCTGTTGGTTGTCCCACTACCAAGCCACCACTAAACCTGTTGGTTGTCCTACTACCTTGCCACCACTAAACCTGTTGGTTGTCCCACTACCTAACCTGATGTCCCACTTCCTAGCCACCACTAAACCTGTTGGTTATCCTACTACCAAGCCACCACTAAACCTATTGGTTGTCCCACTACCTAACCTGATGTCCCCCTACCTAGCCACCACTAAACCTGTTGGTTATCCTACTCCCAAGCCACCACTAAACCTGTTGGTTGTCCCACTCCCTAACCTGATGTCCCACTACCTAGCCACCACTAAACCTGTTCGTTGTCCCACTACCTAAGCTGTTGTCCCACTACCTAGCCACCACTAAACCTGTTGTCCCACTACCTAGCCACCACTAAATCTGTTGGTGGTCCTACTACCAAGCCACCACTAAACCTGCTGGTTGTCCTACTACCAAGCCACCACTAAACCTGTTGGTTGTCCTACTACCAAGCCACCACTAACCCTGTTGGTTGTCCTACTACCACGCCACCACTAAACCTGTTGGTTGTCCTACTACCTAACTTGATCTCCCACTACCTAGCCACCACTAAACCTGTTGGTTGTCCTACTACCTTGCCACCACTAAACCTATTGTCCCACTACCTAGCCACCTCTAATTTGGTTGTCTCGCTAGGCTCCATAGTGCATTGTAAGCAGCCTAGTTTACATACCTGGACAAAGCACTTCTGACTCCTCCAAGTGCACATATTATTTTTGTTGGATTGCATGAATTCATCTCCAGCAGTTGACAGAAAGCTGAGGGCTCTCGCATCCCCTATTATGACCTCATCCCACTTCACCAGCCAGTCCAAATTCTTTAGGGCAGCTATCAATCTTTGCCTAAACAAATAATAGAAGACAAAAATTCAAGCAGCGATCATGCCAAATGCCTTGGTTATATTAAATGAATTAGAATTTGAACAGTATTTTACAAGCCATATCTCAGCTGACTACTTGCCAAGAAAAATTAGACAGAAAATTTGTTGTTTTTAACAAAGTGGACTGAAGAGTCATGCACAAGTCATTCTCTTCATATTTTGTTCGGCATTTTACATGCATATTTACTATTCATAGACAGAAAGCACTTTTGATATGTTTTTTTTTTTGTTTTTGATTGTTTTTTTGTTTTGGGGGCTCTACGAGAGTGATATGAGGTATGACATGATAAAACACAACTGATATGAATGTTCCTGGAGAAATCAACATACAGCGAGTCTGTGAGACAAGTGCAAAGACTAGAAATTATTCATAAATTGTTTTGAAGTATAACGAAACCTAAAACTAAAAAAAGTTAAAGGGACGTTTGCACCATTTTCTACTATTACTAAACGCACAGCATTTGAGGGTTATATGTTCATGGATCACATGCTTAACAACGGCACACAATGCTAACAAAGACACTTGGGTTCTTCAGTCATTCAGGTATTCTATTGATTTTTGTCATTGGTTATGTTTTACTGGATGTAAGTACTGTAAAAGCTTAGATACAAATTTCCTTTGATGCTAGGCTGAGAGAAGATATGTCACTGTGACCCAGACAGTGCACACAACTATCTCCAAGTTAGTTAGCGAGACAACTTACTTCTTCAGGATATATTTGATAAGGAACACCAAAATGATGATGAATGCAATGGAGCCGAGCAGGGATCCAACAATGACTGCTGCCAGGAGGTGTCCACATGTCGTTCCAATGTAGCCAGTATCACATTTACAGGTTTCAGGTGCTGAGCAGGCTCCATTGCTGCCACAGTCTAACCTTTCAAATTCAAAGGTAACAAAATTAATTAGTTGTAAAGTATAGATTACAATTATCCTAACTAATGCTATTTATGCCAATGAATCTCCTTAAAGTATAATGAAAAACATTCACATTACATTTGTTTGCAAACACCTCTTCACCGTCCTATGCTATCATTTTGGTCAATTTTACAACGTTTTTGTTTGTTTGTTTTTTAATCATCTTTTCCCTGAAAATATCAAATTCATCTTTTTTGTAGGGTAAGTTACTTCTTTCTATTCAATTATAATATTATCAATTAACCTAATCTCAAAAAAATTTCATTCTCCTCAGTGACCAAATTAGAATTGGGGGACAATCCAGCAGGTTAGTAGACAGCATCTGACTTAGAGTAAGGGAACAATAATGCTGGTGTTCACACTCAATTCAGAAAATATATATATCTATCAAATATGGCAACTCCAGGTTACAAGGTATCACTGGAATGTATTCCCCAGACAAAAGTCAAAATATAGGTCACAATCACAGGGTATGTAACCTGGAGCTCCATAACCTAGCTACATACCAAACAAGAGGTAAAATGGTATAGGAAATATGCCTTGGACCAACTGATTGGGGTCAGAGGTCTATATGTATGTCATAGTGACACAAAAATGAGATAATTACAGGTGAATTATAAGGAATTTGTCTAGGGGAATCTTTCAGGCTGGAAGGAAGGAATGTGGAAGGGCAAATGTAAACGTGTAATGCCCTGCAGTATTACCAGAGGGAGTAAAACACTGTCCGCTATCACAACTTTAAACATGAGGTTGTAAAGCTATACATGTAGTTATGTGTGGCTCTGTGTTGTTGATTTTTTCTACAGTAGGTGTAGATAGAGATACCACAGATATATATTCAGACAAGAATTCCACGGGAGTGGATATGCTGCCTGCTCAGCGCATAAACAGATATGCCAAAACGCGACAGAAAACCCCGTAATATATGTTGAACACTATTGCTTCCAGCATTACCATACAAAATTTGAAAGGAATTGATAAGAAATAAAAAAGTTCTTGCATTAACTACACAATACCCTTATTTGGCAATAAAAGATGCATAACTCCACCAAAAACGCATGTAAACTTCTGAAATGTGAACTTGTCTGAGCTATATTGGTATTCAATATGTGTAGCAAGTTTAAGTTTAATCAACCCAAGGGAACTCAAGTTATCACACGGAAACCTTGTTTCGGACAACACAACCGACGCCAATTAACAAAGTAGTACCTATATGTCGCTTCCCGTTGCAGGCGACACAAAAATTGGTTCTATCTATATTACCAGTATATAAGGGCTATTTACAAGAAATGCACATGTGCAATAGAACAATTTTGGGATCTGACAGCTGAGGCTTATGTATATAAGCCAGGTTTAAATGGAAAAATTATATTACAGTTGTGGGATCGCACAACGTTACACGATGTGCTGTGTGCGCACGATGTGTGCACGGTGTGTGAACGGTGTGTGCACGATGGGCGAACGATAAAAAACTGGACGATCATGGCTTGCGCACATCTGGGCGCACGATGGACGGACGTTGTGCGATAACAATCGTGGTTGGCGTAAATTGAGGAATGCCTTAACAATTTATACGGTTTCTTGTTTAAACATATAAACTTGGTGTTTACGTATGTTTCTATATTCTAGCAACATTTGTAAACTTGTCTATACATTCTTCTACTTAGAAATTATGTTTTCTGTGTTTTTAAACAAACTTAATCGACACATGTAAAATTACAACACAATCCCGTATCAGAGACGTATAATACGTATTATACATCTCTGCCCGTATACAGGTAAACATAACCACTTTATACATGTACCTTGACCATAGTTTTCTCCCCGCCTGGGGCACTTACGTAACTCGTCGGGTAAGGCCGGGGGTGTGAAAATCCAGGTGAAGGGGAGCTATAGGCAAACGAATGCAAATAACAAATACTATTCATTACGGTCAAACGGTATCGCATATCAGCTCTGTGTGTCAGGCACTGGTCAGGTAAAACTCCAGACACTCATAAAATTGTGATTTACCTGTTCTGTTACCTTGGAGCCAAACCCATTCTTGACAGCCTAACGGTCGCTGTAATTCTGTGTAACACGCATTGTGAAATTGTATGATCTTGATTACTGTGATGAGAAATTACAGATATATACACAGTGTTCATTATCGCATACAAGCCTTCCGTATTTTTGTCATTCCGTAATTTTGATCTACAAATGATACCAAATCGCACAGTTGTGCGGAGAGAAGCGCACAACGGGGCGAAAGATTGCTAAATCGCACAGTTGTGCGCACCATGTGTGGACGATGTGCGGACGGTGTGTGAGCGATGTATGCACGGTGTGCGCACGCTATTTTTGGTGCGTTGTGCGGTCCCACAACTGTACCTACAATCCAAATAGCCAACACTGGTCAAGATATATTATACTACCTTCACATACCTATACTACAACTATTACTGTATCACGAGGTTCAATGAAATATACATAGCAATAAGTAGGCACTGATGAGTGATCTGTCCAGATGGACTTTCAACTTTATACATAGCCAGGGCCAGTTTATTTATAATCGGGAATACATTAGCATTTACAATTGTCTCTGCTGAATTTGCCCTAAATGCCAATAGTATAATAGTATGTTAGAAGATGATTCGGTATTACTATTATTCTAATCGTTTGGTGTTATTTCATATGTTTTTATATATGTGGTATAGGATTATTAAATGTTTTTCATTATAACCTATATCTATGTTATTTGTTCAATTTAAATATATTTTGATGCTTTAATTGCCCAAAGGACCAGTGGTTTCCAAAATGAGCAGGATTTTGAGTAAGAAAGTTGTCTTGCACATACTTACGTGTTACAAATTGGAATCTCACAACGATTTCCTTCCCATCCTGTCTCACAGATACAAACTTCTGGAATATTACAATGGCCAAACACACAGCTGCAAACCATTTTATCACAGGTGGTTCCATAATAGCCAGGATGACACCTAAAGTAACATCAAAGATATGACAGGTGTTTCTAAATATTTTCTAATTTTCATACATTCTATATATTCTACAATTAGAACCATGCAGATGTTGAATCCTCATAAGCATGACCATGAAACACTTATATAGCGGACGTTGAAATGTTAACTTGTGGTTTACTTACATCTGTAGGTCTGTGAACTTGTGAGATTCCATCACAACAAAACAAACAAAACATCACTGTTTTACATGCCATTATAAATTTTGTGCTTGTGTGTTCTTTTTGATTGACTTTATGTCCTTTGTTATAGAACATGATCACACTGAACCTAACCAGGCATTTCTCAGTACAGTCGTGTCATCAGACATAAGCATATTTTAACTCTACATTTTGCATGATGTGGTGACTTCATCTCCATAACTATATATCGATCGATATTTCCACCTTTTCTTTCCCCAATGTTCATGCATAAATAACAATGCAAAAAGTGTATTTTATGATGTCACCAAACTTGTTGTGCACATATCCATTGACAACTTCTCAATTTATTGTTGTTCTGATGATGCTTGGCTTCGAGCCAAAAATATCAACAAGGTTCCAATAAATTCTGATCAAATTTAAACAGATCACTTGTCCTGTCTTTACTTCCTGGATTATTCTTGCAAAGAAAGGTACATACAACATTTTTATGATTGTTCAATATCAACATTTATTTCAGTGCTAAACTATTAACTGTGGCCGTATTTATAAATATCTGTTTCCTAACCCTGATTTAGCAGAGGCGGGTAGTGAATTTTGTGGGTGGGTGTGAGGAATGCCTTCAAATTTGTTGATCACTGATATTTGCTAGACAATTATTCTATTGAGGTATTAAAACAATTACATACAATTGTTTTAACATACTACTGACTTTAAAACTACATGCAGAGAAACCACATTTACTGTCAGATGACATAATTCATATAACTAAGTAGATGTCTGTAAGCGTANCCCCCCCCCCTTTTGGCCTTGGCCCTGTGGTTGACCAATAAATAGCAAGTGACCATTAAATGGTAGACCACCAAAATGGTTCTTCAAATTACATAGAAATAAAATTGTGAGTCAGACTACTTTTTTCGTTGGTCGACAGGCAGAGGAGAAACAAACATTTGATTATGGCCTGATAAACGCCCAGCTATGTACCTACGTGCAGACTTCCTGGTCCGTGCAGTCACCAAACTGGTATTGTGAGATATCGTACTCGTTGATATCGTCACCACCACAGCCCTGAGTGCAGTAGAATGGGGCCACAGCATATTCAGTCTCCACTACTACTTGAGGTTCTCCGGTGCCTGGAGGAATGATGATCAGCTGCTGTGTGCTGGAGCTCACCATCCCAGTGGATGTAGTCACACTACGATAAAATACAACAAATCATATTACATCAGTCACACTGACAATAAACAAGTAGTGAAGGGTGATGCTTACCAAGTTAGAAAGAAAGCCATTTATTACATTTTTGCCAGTGAATTATCGGATTCTATCAACTTGATATCTTTCACACTGTGGCAAATATCAAACATGATATTTTCAATGTGAAAATATCACTTTAAGGTATAAACCAATCATAACGGTATCTTCTATTCGCTGCATTCAAAGGCAACGACGATTTTTTGTTCAGCTTCAAATGAAGTGACTGTAGAATAAGTGGTTATATCACAAGTCTGGCAGAATTCTCACTTTTGCTTTGCACCCATGAAAAATATTGATATTCTCCCACCCATGAATTCTGATATTTTAAAGGGAAATAACTAAATATCATCTCTTTCCCAGCCATTAACAAGTCAAAAAACGTTTCTGCTCATGCCAGATGAAAAGCAATCACAACAGCTTCACCTCGCCTCAACCTCAAAATGCTGAGTTCCATTTGCACCTTGTTCAAGCAGAGAAAACTAACTGTTGCAGCATAAACGACAAATTTGTATTTACTGAATGATTGACATACTTCCATTTGTTCTTGTAGTTGGTTGGTGGAATAGTGTAATTTGCAATCACTTGGTTCCAGGGTGGCAAATCCATGGGACGTTTGGCTTGCTGCTTATATTCTGTAATCATTGTTGCATTTTCCTGAGCCAGTTCCAATATCCTGGCAAAGGTTACTGTCTGTAATAAAATTTCAATTATTTGTTGAGTATTACACCATCTGACCCAGCCAAGCTCAGTAAATGTAGATATATGAAATTAGAATATTTGCCCGTCCTATGCCAATCTGACATACTTGAAATCTTTCTGTCAGAAGAACTATTGCATCAAAATGTATGAAAATGTAAGTGTTAGAAGACACAACATTTGTACTTTATTCCTTAGTAAAGTTGTACTTTACCAACTTAAGCTGAAGGAATGTATAAATTGTATATATCCTTCATGACCCTTAACATTTTTATTTGCAATTGCCTCCCATTGTACATATTTCAAACCAAGAGAAATTGAAACTGACTATTTTGCCAATAATGGATTCATCTTACAAGTTACATTCACATTAAAACCATTAATAACTGGAAGAGGTTTGATTGATCACAAAATAAGTGAAGATTCTGCTAAAAAATTGTACATGTATATGCACACTTTATATATGTGCACAAAATGTAAATTACGCGGCTGTGAACAATGGTTGGCGTACCGTTGCTGTGCTTGCTGTATTAGTAAACGGATGGGGGTTACTTGTCACCCACATTCCCAGAAAGCCAGGCCGGTTACCCGTATCAGCTTGGAAATGTATTCTCCCGGACAAACCTTCAAAATCAACCTACAAAACAGAACAAATCCTACAGATGTTTGATATTAATAAGTATGTAAATTAGTGTAAATAAAACCTATACAAGACCCGAATCATGAATCTTGTCCAACTTGCGAAACGGCCATTTCAAAATACGATTTTACATGAAAAAAATTTAAATGAAGTTTTAAATATGCATTCTTTCACATTTTTCTTTTACCAATGTCCAAGATAAATACATCATTTGTTGGCATTTTGAATTTTGATGTGACTTACCAAGAAAGTTTAAAAAGGCAAGACATGTATGACACAACTATTTCATGACCTTACGACCTATCACTTGTCCAGTGATCCATACATCCCTTCATTCAACAATATGAAACAGAATGTAAAATATTTATAGATTGTTTTTTAATTATTATCTCAAATGTTTTCATATTTTGCAAAGATTTCTCCAGAGGTGAAGGCCACAGATTTGCACCTACTTGTCTGATAGCGGCAGTCAAGGCTGGCCCAGTGATTGTCAGGCTGGCGTTGATCATATTGGTGAAAGCAATGGCGTAGGTTCTCACAGCATCATATCCTTTGCCCCATTCTGCCATAACCTGAAGATGATATAAAAATCAGCATCCTAACTTTCAAAGATCACAGCAAGAAGTGTTCACAGAAGAATTCTGTAGCCCATACAACTTGAAATAACTTTTTTTCCAGTAACCAGCAGACAATGTAGGAGAAAACTGCATGTACTAGAAAATTTAAACTTATCCTGTACCAGGAAACTTAAGGTTGTTCAAGTGCTTTGAAAAACATGTTCGTCCTTCTAATATTTCCTGATAATACTGGCTTAACACAATCACAAAACTGTCCCAATTTCCACACATCCTAAGTTCCTAACACTATAGACAATATGTAATATCTAACTAGTCTATCCAACTACGCCTGGTCTCCGAGTTATCAACCCAGTTATAATATTTTCTCCTGCAAACAGAATACATAATGTATTTAGTAAACTGGTTGCACTGTAATTCAAGTGTTTTGAACACTTTTGACCTTGTGACTTTGAGTATGAATTAAGATCATTTCTTCTTTCTGTTAACTTTGTAAAATATGATGCCAGCAAGCTCCAAGAAAAATTTGACATACAGCCTTTTGGATCATCAGAAAAAAAATCATTTGAGTATTTCAACAAATTTGACCCCTATGCAAGCTGCACATAGTAATTTATGCAAGGAAGCGTCTGGCCAAATATTATGACTGTAGGCCATTTGGTTCTTCAGATGAAGTTATTTGAGTATTTTAACATTCAAATATTGCACAATGTATTATAAAGCACGAGCTGGTGGCCCTGTTTACTTACAGGTTGTGTACACCTTCACAAACTTTTCAGATCATGTATGGTACAACACAATTAATACAGAAACAGCAGACTTCTGGTTTGTTACAAGATTTATTGAGATGCTCCAAATTTTACCTCTATTTTGCCCTCAATAGCCCCCTTAAAGAGACCACGATCTTCTCTTTTGCAAATCTGAATCAAGTATGAATCCTACCATATTTGGTTTTAATTGGTCTTGTAGATTTGAGAAGTCATTTAAAGAAAAAGTTCAGACATGACAAAACAGATTGCAAAAGCTCCCTTTGCCCTTTAGGCTAGGTGAGCTCAATTCTTGTTTTATCTTATTTTGTGAACATAATATTTGTTGTTGTTTTTAATGTACAACCTCTGAAGAAATTTCCGAAATAACATTTCCTTCAGATGTTATGTTTTGTTGAGGCTGTTCACTTGTTTTTCTTCAAATGTGCTTCTCAATTTGTTTGTATTTTCTTTGAGTGACGAATGTAATTGAGCATGATTTGTGAACATCAGTTGTATATTATTCCTTTTACAATCGCAAAAAAAAGAGTGGTATAGACTGCAGTATTACATACCTCATTGAGGGAGCGTCTTGGTGCAGTTCCACGGTAGTTCATTCGACGAAAGTTGGTGTGTTTGATCATGGCATGCTCCCACAAGGGTGTCATCATCCCACTGACATTGTAGGTGCCGCCCACACCGAAGTAACCAATCCAGGCCATCGTACAAGTGATTGGCTGGTTAGAATAATCAAACAATTCAATTACTTCATTCTGTCCCTAAATTTGTTACAGACGAAATTCAGGATCACCTTCTTTAACCTTTTTAATTTTGTACTGTACATTACTTACATATTTAACTTAATATATGAAATGTCAATGAAAATTGTATTGACTTGTTAGGTTTCATTCCGCCAACAATTTATCTCAGTATCAAAGGAGAATAGTCAAACAAACATAACTTACACCTAGACACATAGGATGCTGATTGGCCCAGGGGAAGTGCCAGCCGACGTCATTTAGAAGGCCCCATTCATATCCATGATAGCAGGAAATATTATGTCTTAAAACAATAAATAAAAATAACTTAGTAAAAATGGCAAGAAGAACATTTTCAGTATGAAAGCTGATGATCAATGTATTTAATATCAAAACTATTGTATAATTTCATGAAATAAAACAGGGATAAAACCATGCAGTCCTGCCTAACTTGTCCTTAATTTTCAAACTAATCCAGACTTTTCAATAAATCAATTAATAATTGTCATAATATTGTTAGGTTGAACTTTCACAGTCACATAGAAAAATTTATCATAGTTATGTAAATGAGTGTATGAATAAGCCTGGGGACTGTATTCATGAAACCGTTCTCATGCTCAAGCGTGGATTTGGTTTTGTGCTCAAACGAATTTTCTTGTAACTCACTTAAATCATGTCAAATGATCAAAAAGTAAAATGTAAACATTGAAAACAGTATTTGGCTTTAAGAGTCTTCAAGTTTTTTCCAAATCATTGACAAAATAACATTTTATTATTAATTTATAAGCAGATCAAGCAATAAGGCTTGAGCACAAAATCCATGCTTCAGCATGAGAACGGTTTCATGAATACGGGCCCACGTCAGAGTTCAGCAGCATGTGTGATAGGTGAGGCTTAGGACAGTGATGACACGTACAGGTGTCTGTGTCTGCCTATAGCCATTGAACGATACAGACTTTCCCACCCACCTGCCCCTTTTCGGAAATGCATGTTTCTGTGTCTTTCATTTTGTGATTGCAGAATCTTTAATTGATGAACACACTATGGAGGTTCTTAAAAGTTTAAAGCAAGATCCAGGTGAAGACAGAGAAGAATGCATAGTTTGATACTCCTTGTTTGAAATTTCGATTTATCATCGTATAAAGTGAAAAAATGTACGTCCTTGTTTAGCTAGGCGGACGAACTCCCAGTGATGACTTTGAGTTTATAAGATAAATGAATAACGCTTGTTTGAGAGGAGCGAACTAGAACATAAATGTATTTACCTGATGGCTTCACTGATAATGAACCACTGTAACGGGGCGTAGGCAAACAGGTGAATAATCTTTGTTCCTGCTTTCTTGATCTGCTCCATTTGAGTATCTATAACACCCGGCGCATATTGTTCTGGAGAAAGTTTCGGTATGATGACCTAGAAAAATAAGCCATGGAAATGCATAGTCACTCAAATTAATTGTACCGAACAAAAGAGCGACCAAAGGCCGTTATTGATAGGCCACCAACACTATATGTAGTACCAACCCGTTTCTCAAGCTTTGTTTTTGTAAAAAAGACAATAGATATGTGTCAAAACAGTATATAATAAAAACATGGCATTAAAGAAACTAAATAAGCAATGTGTAACTAAATATTTCCACTGAAATTGAACTGAAATAAATCACAGTTGTCGAACTGACGGAAAATAAAAACAAACTAGAACCAAGACAGATATTCCTGTGGTAGTATTTTAGCTACAATTGGGGGGATTTTTAACTAGAATAAAGGAAAATAAAGCTGAAATAGGGGAAACAAATGCTGAAATTGGAGATGGGAACTGACCCATATTCTGTCATAAAAAGGCCTGTATATTTCATGGTTCTATTATAGATACCTCTTGTGTGATGTCCAAGTTAAACAAGGCAGCTTTCTGATAGAGCACTTGATGTATCTGGTAGTCAATTTCTCGAACAATGATCTATAAATAGACAACAAATACATGTACTGACAATTACCTATTAATGGTTATTTCAAAAGGGGGAAGAGATATCAACACATTAACTAGAACACTGACGGGTCAGTAAGGACCCAGTCTTGTGGCAATATGTCCCCCCAATAATCATCAAGATGCAACCTGCCCATATAGCTGAGCTTGACGTGACATTTGGACTTCAAAAAGAATCGCAAGGAAGCAAAATATACATTTTATATGTACTATGATGTGAGTCTTGTTTCCTTCTACCTCCATATTTGCTGGGCTAACAGAAATGTAAATACCGGTACAACACTCATTTGTTAACTTTGATTTGTTTTATTTCACCTTATATACCTCCTACATCAAGAGCCAGGGTCAAAGTCAGAGATCCACTTTGTCTTTTGTCCTTTGTACCCAAATGACCTTGACCATTAACCCAGTGACCCTGATCTTTGGTCAGTTGACTTATTCTTTAATTCTGACCAACTTTGCTTCTTAATATGATAACAAAATGTTTATCGGTGAAAAATACAGAAATTGGCCTTGACCGTTTGGACCCCGTAACCTGGACCTAATGTCAGTTGACTATTTGTTAAGTTCTGAACAACATTGCTTCATAATGTCATAACAAAATGTTCATCAGGGAAAAGGTACAAAATTTAACCTTCACCTTTGACCCAGTGACCTTGACCTTTGGTCAATTGACTCCTTGTTTAATTCTGAGCAACATTGCTTCAAAGTGTCATAGCGAAATGTTCACCAGTGAAAAGATACAAAATTTAACCTTGACCTTTGAACCAATGACCCTGACCTTTCGTCAGTTGACTTCTTGTTTAATTCTGATCAACTTTGCTTCATCATGTCATAACAAAATGTTCATCAGTGAAAAGATGCAAAATTTGACCTTGACTTTTGAATCTAATGACCTTGACCTTTGACCTCAACTTTTTAACTCAGTGTGTCTCTTTGTTAAATTCCGAACAACTTTCCTTCATAATGTCATAGCGAAATTTTCACCAGTGAAAAGCTACAAAATTTGACCTTGACCCCTGACATTGACCGTTGGTTAGTTGACTCCTTGTTCAATTCTGATCAACTTTGCTTCATAAGTCATAACAAAATGTTTATCAGTGAAAATATGTAAAATTTGACCTTGACCTATGAACCTGATGACCTTGACTTTTTATCTCAATGTGTATTTTTGTGAACTGAACATCTTGACCAAGTTTCATTTACATCGGTCAATAAATACTAAAGTTATCAGCCAAGAACAAAATTTGTGGACGGACAGACAGACAGACAGACAGAGTGATTACTATAGGGCACGGCACCCGTATCTCCGATACGGGACCGTAATTATACAAGATGCTAAATCATACAATTAATATCCCTACTGTCTTAGCTATTCATTGTATACATGAAAATCAGCTAAGGTTATTCTGATTTCCACTCCAGGGAGAAAATAATGCTTATTTAACTCATTTACCCCTGAAATTTTTATAATGAACTATTCCAACCTTTGAATTGGAAAAGTTCAAATGTGTCTTCAGTGGTGAATGAGTTAAATGACTGTCCTCTTATTCCTTTTCCATTTCACATACAATGAGTCATCTTAGTTATTGTTTATGCAGGAAAATGCATAATTTTCAAGAAAATTTTACTGCTTCTTAAATCTATAATGTAACCTGAACTTTCCCCTCTGCCATCAGTTAAGGATAACAGGCCTCTAAGTGACTTTTTGGTTGAACTAGCTATATGGCTTGTGACCTCTAATTTTTACTCGCCATCATTTTCCCGCATAATTACTTACCTATTTGGATGCATTTGTGTACCGTTTCGGAGCAAATTGTGTGTCAAACAATGTATGTGTACAAGTGTATATATTAATAATAAAAACAAAACAAAACAAGTCTTGATTGTCACTGTTTTACTTTATTCAAAATCAGGGTCGACCTCCCATTCTAGTTGGTTTGGCCAGCCTCTGTATTTGATTTTTCTCTTGGTCTGAACAGTGCTCCCGGTTTCCTTACTTCTTACAACAGAGTCACGTATATCCTTGTGTGTCTTAGACTTACCGTGCCAGACAAGCGTTTCCCTTTTAAATGTTCGGTTCCCCCCTGAAACGAAGTCAGTTTTACAAGCCATCGTCGGACTTGACTCACAAGTTTTGCAAAACATTGCATTGTTGTTAAACCGAAGCCACGATAATTCGCTTAGCCATGCCGTGACAAAACGGCGCTTCAATTTCGGTGTTTTTGAAGATGTGTCTGACTCTGTACTACAAGTAGTAGTAGAACTTGACGGTTCTTGTCCGCTTTCTTCTTCTTCTTCACTTTGCTTTCCTCTTTTAAAACCGAAAGCCGTCAGCGATGACTGAGCTGGCCTTTTGGCTGCCATTTTTGTTTTGTAATGAAACGGATTAAGTCACTAAAACGCTTCGCTGTGCAGCTTTAACCGCTGCTGATTTACAAGCGCTCGTAACACACCGACAATGTGAAGTATACTAAAAAAACAGGGCGATTCCGGACAAAAAAATCCGGATTTTTTTAACTCGCCAGCTGGCGATATGTAGGTATTTTTTACTCGCATTTCGTAATTTTTACTTGCATATGCGAGCGTTTTACTCGCAACTTAGAGGCCTGGATAATGCGATTTCCTAAACATTGGTTCATCATTAATCTAGTAGACACTTGTCAGCTTCAAATATCATATCAAAATAAAACAAATTTTATAAAAAAACTTTACCATTTTTTTCCATCCTCGATCTCTGCAAGCTATCATTAGGCACTGAGCAACAGCTGCCAAATCCCACGACAGTCGGCTGTAGTATGGATAAACACCCTGGAACAAAATCATACAAAATAGTGATGCTCACTAAGGTACCTCCTCAACCATCTTTTCATGACATAACTGACCTATGTGCAGTCAGGAGAGTGTTTCAAAACACCGTCACTGTCCAACCTGAGGATCCACATGTCTATAAAGATTCCTGAGAATATCTGGGAGATAAGTTACAGTTTGGACAAGCATGACAAGAATACGATTTTTGGCCCCTTCACTTGACCTTAGCTTTTAGGGAGTGTGGCATAACAGTGGTAAGTCGTGATAAACATATCCTGTTAAATTTCATAGGGGAAAATTTGACCATTACAAGTTCTTGTATTAATTCAAATTTCCCAATTTTTGTGAATTATTGGAAGTCATAAGGCGGTTACAAACCTTGTCTGTAAATTCTGCTTCATCTTCTCTTGTTGCTAGGGATGGCATTTGATTTGCTGACAAATAGCTAGCCATTTTCTTGGTAGCAGTGTTGGATCCGAACCCTATTATGCCTCGGACCTTCTCGCTTGGATTCAGCTGTTTCAAAACAATATTTTGTTTCACAAGATTGATCATGGAAGCAAATAGTCAAATAATGTGCACAAATGGAATTGTAGTGAAATATATAGCTTCTGTTGTTACTGTACATTTCCTCACCTTTCATCAAAATAAAATGAGATTTACTCCCATGTGTTTTAGAGTGAATGTTTTGTTGTAATCAAATACTATAAACCTAATAGGACTGCATTTCATAGGGATTCCAAGAATCATGTTTTTTAGTATGGCATTGATCCCTGTGTGTCTTTGAAGCATAAAGAAATCTCTAGGTTGATTGGAATCATTTATTTCGTAGACCAAGTTGTCTATGAAGTTATTTCCCATGATGTGTAAGATTTACAATAAATATATGAGTTAGAGAGAAAGTGTACTGTTACAGAGTATTAATTTATGCTACCATGCTGAATATTAATAAAATTGTCTTGGTCAAGGTCGGATCTTTCAACATTTCTGTCAGTCAATAAGAAATCTATATTCTAAAGACCTATTGTCTATGGTATGCAAATTCTTAATTCCAAAATTAAGTTCCGATTCCAACTTATTATGGCATTCAATGTCGCAAGGACATTTAACCACCAACATTTGAAAGTTATTCGGCTTTTATTTCACAAGATTATGAGCTTGTCCCAAAGGTTAAAAAAATTCTTATTAAATTTGTTTGATAAACTTTCTCTGAAATGGGACGACTTATATTTATATAGATCAAGTAGTTCACTATTGAAGGAACGCACTGTTATAGAGCCATAATTAGTCTGTGATTTCGACATAAACAAACTTCATACCAACTGAACACTCCAGCATATTGAAATCTACTCCATGTATTTAAACTGAGCTCTTATTTTTCTTATCCAGGAAACTTCTACTTCACATTGTTTCTTTACCTTGCCATGGTCAATCATCCCCTGAAATGCTGCGGGGGCCAAACTGCCATCTTTTCCAACATCGTAGCTGTTCATAGAGAGTGTTCTCCCTTCATTTGAAAAACGATTTAGTATCAGAATAATTATTTTCACCTCATATGAAGTAAACACAATGGTGTAAAAATCCACTAGCACAACACCCAGGGCTGCTAGATTTTTTTGTTGGGGCTAGTGAAAATTTGCAATATTTCTAATGAAATGAAATATCACTTGGATTTGATTTCTGTTTTTTTAGTTCAAACTTGTTTGAAGTTAATGATCTTCTTCGAACATTTTGCTATGGATTAAATGTTTAAATGGGGTACATCTCTTTTAATAGTAATTTTTCAATTGGACAAGAAAGAAATTGATATAAAAACATGAGGGGGCCTTTATTTGAGCATACTTTCTGTCAGCAATATAAACTATATAGTAATTCATTGAATGTTAAACACTTAAGATATTAGTATAATAAACTTTATTTGTTTAACAACAATTATGAAACATTTCAACTTATATTAATCATTCTTGTTGGCCCGGATGTTAGCGCGTGGGGGGTCTTAGTGTGGGAGGAAACTGGAGTACCCAGAGAAAACCCACTAGTCGGGCAGGTGACCCCAACCTTTTCAGGTCCGATTGGGGAATCGAACCCTGGCCGCCTTGGTGAAAGGCAACTGCGCTATCCACTGCACCAACCGACCAGATATTAGTGGCATTTACCTTGTAACAAGTCTGGAAAATAACCATCAGCAATGTCTTCTATTGCATAGGTGGCAAATGCATCAATAAACGGTCCTGTATCTGACGTAGCAGACGAGCCATACGTATCAATAAAGTTTGCGATGTAGATCTCGTCTGAAATATACATGTTACATCAAATTTAACACACAAAAACGTTTTGCTCCATTTCGGAAGCAGACTTACATTGAAGTCTATTAGCAGTTAGATGAACATATGCCCTATGCAAACATACAGCAAAAGAAACATGCTAAATATCATTTCTTAATTTTTATTGATTAAAAGGTTCTTGAATGGAAAGTTTCACCTCTTCAAAGAAAACAAAAATCAAAGTTGCAATATCATCAAAAGGTAGATAGTATAGAGACATGTACGGCACTGCATCAATGAAGAGTGACCAGCTGTAATGACTAATTCCCCATCAATGTAGAATGGCATGGGGTTTCTTAAAACAGGATATGTGGTTTAAGCTTCATTACTAAAACCCCTTTGCATACTTCAGGTAGGCAGGTAAAAATCTTCATTGACGCTCTACTAAATGCTAGGGAATGTTATTCTCTCCATTATACCAAGCCACAAAGTGACAATAAGATCTGGTATGGAATCTTACCATTTTGATTTCAAATCCAAAGTCTGGTATACATTTCCAGGAATTCCCCAATGATTAAATTCATCTATTAAAGTAAATTTGTTTCCTAAAAAATTGTCTGTAAATCCTTGAATTTCCTATAAACTGAATAACTACACTGAATAATAGTCCTGTTTGCAAGTACCATTATATAACATACAAAAGAACTCAAAAAATAATTTGAAAACATTTTGAATTGGTAGGAAAATAGTAAAGTTAAATAAGAAAACCTGAAACACATTTTTCAGGCCCGATGTGATACATACTTGTCACGTTGAAAGGATCAGAAGCTGTCCCAGTCAAAGGACCAGGGGTGACCAAGCTGTCAGCGTCGAAGGAGAGAACAAATCCTGTACCAACATCACAGAACGAGCCAGCAAACACAGCTTGTCCATGAGAAGCTGTAATATTCTGGGAGTCCGAGGATACACAACCTCCTCCAGATGAAGTGACACTGATAGTCTATTAAAGACAAAGCGTCATGTAAAACTGATCTGTCTAGGGCAAAAAATATCTTTGAGGCTTTGTTTTCTGTTGTTTGTTTTTGGATGATAATTTTCACAAATATCAAGAATCTCTAACTTTATCTTTGTATTATCAAGTTTGATCAAAATCTGTTAACAAATGAAATTGCTAGAGTAAGGTCACCAAATTGGTTGACAATGCATGTTTGAACAAGTATTTTTCTGTGACTTTGGCTGAAGGGGCAATTCAAGAAACCTACTGTAACACTTGAAGTGTTTTCTTTCCCTTACCTGCTCTGCCTTGTTTTCAGCAGTGTCTCCCTCCCTAGCCACCTGTTTTCATGTGACCGTAGCTTGTGTAAGGATGTTGAATGATGAAAACAAAACAAATTGTCTGGAGCACAGATGTATGTATTACTCACCAAATTGGCATCGCCACCAGACCAGACTCTGTCACCAGCTGAATCTTGAATTTCCAGGATGGCTCCATCATCTATTGGGAAGTTGGCAGCGACAGTAGTATGTACATCATTACCGTTCAGGAGATTTATAGATGCAGCAGTTTGTTCTGAAAAGAGACAACATTTTGATTAAATTATCATTTACCGGGTACCTTCTTTTCACAAAGATTTTGATTTCACATTCAAACATAACCACTAGTACATAAACTAGTGATTAAAAAACCCTTAGCTTTTCCTATACCTAACTTGTTCTCTATAGCTTAGTATAACCCTTGTTTTGGCTAGTTTGTTAGATAATATTTTGCGAAATAAGTAATATATTGTCTATTACTATGTTTTTTCAAAGGGTTGTTCAGGATGAAGTGGGTTTGCAGAATGGGGCATCAAGAGAATAGATTTTCTGAGACCCAGAAAATTAAATTGTGCGAGTCAAACAAAACATTTTGGTGTATAAAAAGTACCTGGGTCTAGGGAGGTGGGGTAACAGCTATCACATGTAATCTGAAATTGCTATCAGGCCATACAGAGGACCCTTATGATATCAATATTACCTCACTTCAAAATGTGGTAATCTTGTCTTACATGTCTGTTTATGTGTATTTATGAAGACAATAGGGGTATTTTATAGGAATATTTGGGAAGTTATTTTGAGAAAGTTAAACTTATGTCCATACTAAAAGTTAAATAGGGGGTTTGTTTTAACTGTAAGAGTATTGTTGAAAAGTTAAATTTGTTCATCCATTGGGACTAAAGTAATGCAATTTGCAGTTTCAATGATTTAATTTTCAGAGAAAATCATTCATTGATCTAGATATTTTTTCCCCATTTTGGGGAGTTTTTCTGTCAGGCTGGATCATATGCTGGTAGACAAGCGTGTATTTTTATCAAAAAAAATATTTTCATAAATTGTTATTGAATGGTGTAGCTACATTGGAACTTTCATTGTAAATAATATAACATTTTTCATTAGATTTGCTTGTTTTGAGATGGTTTGAAAGGGTATTGAGAGAGTACTATAGTAGGGATTGAATGAGTTAATGAAAGAGTTGGTCTGTAGGATACTGCTACAATCAGTATTTATACACTGCAAATCATTGAACCAAATTACCTTACTAAACTTCAGTTATAAATCATAGTCATTATTGAGTAGGGTCACTGTTCCTGGGATAGTGAATATGGCTTTTAGGCAATGTGTGTATTTCACTTAAAGCCAACTACTGGTCACAAGTCATCGATGTATGGTCAAAGGGCACGAGACAAGTGCAAGGGAATTTAGTCCTATGATTTACCAATCTACATTTAGTTAAGTTGAATCTTGTTAATTAGAAAAGGTCATTGTTGTAGTGGCAAGTACTGTATTATTCCTGGACCCAAGACCGGTGGAAAAAGAATTACTAAAGGAAGAAGAGAGGAAGACAATTTTACAATGCTGACAATTTTATATGATTGAAAGATAGATTAGGCCAAATAAAATTAATTACTTGGTTCTCAGGCCAATTTTTTTCAAAAGAGATGCGGCAGGGAGGTATTTTTTCCCCCCTTTTACATGGCAAAAACAAGACGAGGGCGATTTTTTTTTATTGTGTAGTTTGTAAAACGTTCATTGTGGGCATTACCTTGTCTTTTTATAGTTGTGTAGAGACCCGTCACAAAGCAAGCCTGCGAAAATCCCCCCACGATGCTCTAGACGAGAATCACGAACCCCCCATTACTTATTTGTACCAAAGTGAGCGCCATTTGTACACAAGACTAATAAGTCATGATAATTTTAACGCTTCCAATCCTTATCTTTCTTCAAACGTTTTCGGGACTTGGGTGACTAATGAGTAAAAACGACATGCGGACCAATTTTCCGGATTTTTTTAAAGACGGCGGCTGGTGAATTCACATTTTTTATTTATTACTTTCACGATAAAATCGGCAATGCGGTGCCCTAAAATGAAATGCGCGCGGGCCTGAGAACCAAGTAATCTTTTTTTTTTGGCCTTAGCAGAGTTCTTTATTGACTTAGTATCGATCAGATTGACAAACTTTGATATCAAAACTGAACGAAGGGACACAACTTTGTACACTCAATTATTTCACAAGTGGCATAAGACAATATTTATTCGTTTATACACTGCCATACCCAGAGGTACCTCAGGTGTCGGACAAGAGTGTAATTCTGAGACATGTCACACATGGACTGATAGATAGCAATCCTTTGGGCCCTCTGTTGCTACTACCTGTATCCCATGGGGACTGATAAAAAAGATTTCTATGTAAATGTTTAGTATTTACTGAAATGTATGTAGCAATAGTACCTGTCACAGCGATGCAGTTCGTGATGTAAACACCGCCATCGTTTGTGCTGTTGATGTAGTACCCGTTGAGTCCATTGGTCAGCTCATGTACATGCTTCTCCTCATTCATGGTAGTTGGCAACCTGAATAGTGGATACCGAGGCATGGTAAGTGTGATGTTTAGTTGCACACATGTATGGACATCCAACAGACGCACATCTGTGAACGAGGCAATTCCTCCAGAAGCTCTTTTAGTAATCAGTTTGTTATGGGTACTCTTACTTTGCACCATGTCAGTTCCCCCAAGCCTCACCTAAAAAAAGAAACAAGAATAATGTTACTATGACATCTCAATTTCCTTTTTCTTTTAAACCTATTAACCATAGGGAAGGGGTGGGAGGCACTTTTTCATAGACCTCATCATCCAAAAAATCTTAAAAAGTTATTTTATATAAGGAATTGTAGGCAGATCTGGTTTTAACCTACCCATAATACAGGTGCCTCGATCCCTATTACCCAATACGTTAAATCATGGAATAGCCCTTCACTACATTTCTGCTGATTGCTGACACAGGTTTCAATCATACATCACAGAAAAGTTCTGTATCAGAAAGTGGTAGAAACAGGCTATTGGCCAGCCACCCGTCCACCTGTCTTTTTGACAGGCAGTTTTCTGTAAGGGACCTATTTTGACAGGCAACTTTCCACTATATAACCTTACTATTGTATCAATTTTGATAGGCAGTTTTGTAAAATTAGTTAAAATATAAACGCTTTGGACAGGGACATTTGAAATCCTGGGTAGAAATATAACATTTTTCCACTGCAGAGCACATCCCAAACTTCCTGTGATCTAATATAGTTTGGAAAAAAAGTTTCCAAATATTTTTGTGTTATTTACAGGTTATGTGGCATCAATTTATCATCACTGTTGATAGGAACTGAGGTATAAAAAAATTCTGATATTGCAGTCTAAAGCGATCAAATTCTGTATTTACTATAGAAAATTTGGTGGTGTAGACGGAGCCATTTTTTAAGAACCAAATGTGCAAAACAAAAACTGAAGAAAAAATAAGAATGGTTGTACTACATAGACTAATCCATATAGCCACTAATAACAAAGGATTTCATTGTTTAAACAGTAATCAATAAAGAAACTTACATTTTCATAAAACAGCATGTTGCGATAACCATTGTCATGATACATGACAGACAAATCCTCCAACCAGGCCACTTTGATGGTAACATCCAGTGTGGAATCTAAGCCAGAAGTGATGAGACTTCCACTGCTATCTAGGATATGAACATCTATAGGAAAGCCTTTGTTTGCCACTATTGTAGAAGGAGGTGGTGTGCTTAGACTGACGTTCTGTGCATTTTCTGAAGTTAACAATAACATTTCACTATATAAAATTCTACAATTTGAATTTACTTCCAGACAAAAGTATTGTATAACAACATAAAACATTCAAAGATCTGTACTTTTTTATGTAGCTTTTCATTTTTCAACCATTTTGTTGATTCAAATCTTCACTGGGTTGATATATGTGAACTTTTTTACGTAGCTTTAATTTTTAATTTTCAACCATTTTGTTGATTCAAATCTTCAGTGGGTTGATATATGTGAACTTTTTTATGTAGCTTTAATTTTCATTTTTCAACCATTTTGTTGATTCAAATCTTCAGTGGGTTGATATATGTGAACTTTTTTATGTAGCTTTAATTTTCCTTTTTTAACCATTTTGGTGATTCAAATCTTCAGTGGGTTGATATATGTGAACTAAGTACAGCTACTCTAGACCAAAATCGGATTCAGTTTCAGGAAGGAAGCCATATTGCATGCGCTGAAAATCTGCATTCTACCTGATCAAACTGAAACACCAACAGCAACATGCAATGACTATCAAACCAACAGAAGGGAACTTCTTTCAAGTTTAATGCAGTTTATTACAACCATCAGACTGACTGTCACAGGGCATCAATTAGATTAGAATTTAGTTGCATTTTCATCAAAAACTATTTTTCATTAATACTACCATTCATATTTTAACTGTTGATTATCAATCGTGTCGGACCCCACCACTTTGTAACTATCACCAAAACAAATAAATCATAAAACAGTTCGACTGATCTGATTGCTTTTCTCGCACCTCAGACAGAGATATCCCATGTCATACCCCATGCTAGATTTTTCTATCTCGACTGATCTGTTTTGTGCCTTTACATGACATTTCGCAGAATTTTTACACTGCGATGTATTCATCCGCACGTTAACTGCTTGAAATTGACAATTTGCATTATAAATGTACTGTTTTGTCGTTATATGTATAGTTTTGATGTTGTAGATAAAATATAATCTACACTGTGAAATACGTTGTAATCTATGTAAGGACGGACTACATTTTTACATGGAAGCATTCAAATGTAGCTGTAGCAGTGAAGAGGTCATTATCATTTGAGGTCAAAGGCGGGATACTTCTAATTTTAAGCAAAATTGAATAGTTCTTTTCGAACTAAAAGGTGTGAGAAAAAAATCAATTAACTGTAACTGAGCGAGATCAGGTTATCTCAGTCTCGGGCTAACATTCTGTAACAACCCAACCTCGGCTAACTGCTTGGTTGGGATTTTGTTACAGAATCTTAACCCTTAGGCTGCTATATTGATTTCTATGTAAACGGACACCACTGCTGAATTAATTATTGAAATTTAAATTAATTTACTTGATTTTTCAAATGTGCATAATTTGAAAAATATTTGTTATATGTGAAAAAAAGTTATATGAAAATTGTTCGTTGTTGTCTCTAGTTTATATTAACGTTTTCAATTCTAAAGTTGCTTCAGTATTTACCTGTACAGGTGGTAATAAAGGTAAGAAAATGTGAAACTTTTAATTAATCGGATTTAAGCAAGAGGAATGTCATTTTAAAATTATTTTCGTCCGCAAATGTGATTGGCAAATGATAACAGAGATTATAAACTTCATTTTTGACATAAGACGCTGTATATTTACACGGAGATTCTCAGGTAAAAAGGTCAGGTATTTCGTCAAGAATTGCATGTGATTTGCTACAGGTTTCAGGTCGCCATTCAATAAATTTACTGTCACAGTCGGCATATAGATATATCTTAGCTACGGTCTAGTTTATGATTAAATCACCGATAAAAAGTTTGATGAAATAAATCGGCTCAAAACGTATCAATGTCAATGTTCAATTCGGCCTCACCTGCAGACGACATGTGCGCCTCGGTCCGCCGATATTTTCCTGTTTGCGTAGAGCACAAAGCCGTTTACTGGAAAGTTACATATTATGTATTAAGTATTTCCACATCAACCATGCAAAACCCTTTAAAACCTTTATTATCATCGTAGGTGACGATGGAGAATAAATGTTCACCATCATATTCATCGCTTCAATCTACACGTCTGCCATTTTTATGATTTTTTTTTCGATTTGAAATTCTCTCGCACACCTTTGGTTATTACTAGGGTACACTGCCGTGAATATCGAAAGTAATGACCAAATAACCAATCAGAAGCCTTCTACTATACGCGTTCGGGTTTGGTATAGCAACAACCCGACTTCACACTTCCTGGCTACCGATCAAAGCCTACAGACCGAGAAACGACTATAGTCGTGCGTAGCACTGACGGCCCGACTTTTCAAAACGACTATTGTTGTGCGTAGCAGCCTAAGGGTTAACCCTCGACTGAGATAACCCAATCTCGCTCAGTTACAGGTTAAAGATTTTGTTATTCTAAACAACAGTGATCGTTACCATGAAATATGAAAAACAGGACAGACATGGCAGGGGTTGACACTAACACTAGTCCGCTAGTCCTGGACTAGAAGATTTCAGCAAGGACTAGTGAATCATCTAACCTTACTGGTCCTTTGGACTTGTGAAAAATATGATTATAAAATAAAAATATTTCTTTTTAAAATTTAAAAAGCAGCTTAAAATAAGATATAATGCATAATAGTTGTCAAAATTTACTAAAATTTCACCATATTTTTATGGCAGTAATTATTTAAGTCCCCTACAGTGGATGATTACTTTTGATATTTCATGCTGTAGATCGGGATGTTTCCTTATCAGGAAATCTTGGACTAGTTACATTGATGAAGGACTAGTAAATAATCTATTTTACTAGTCCTGTGGACTACCAAGCAAAAATAGTTAGTGTCTAACCCTGCATGGGTAACACTAATATTCCCCTCCATAAAGTGGAACCTCAACGAGTGATGTGACTTACCGGTAACTTCAATAGGATCAGTTATGGTCGTGTATACAAGGCCATCATACTCCACAGAAAACAGTATGGCCCGTTCCCTCGGAGGTACGACTGAATGAGCGTGGTACAGTGCATCTGCTCTCAATTCTCCTGCATACACTGGCACATCAACTAAAGTCGTGTTGTCACCACAAACCCAACTGAAAACAAAGTACAATATATATCACTACCATCTTGTACTTTATCTTCAATGTATATATATATTTATTTGAACATTTCAGTGTATATGCAAAGGAGCTAGAATACATGTCGAGATATCAAGCCAGTAGTCTCAGTGATGACAAAATAGCAATGGTTGTCCAATAAATAGGGGTCAGATTTGAAAGAAGAAAAAAAATGAAAAAAATCCTAAAAATAACCGACAGTGATTAATCTACATGCAAGTCCCGAGTCCTATACTCATAGAATTTGTATGGGTCTCACAGAATTTCTCGATATACTTAAATTTAACATTGTGGGACTCACTATTTTTAGCAATACAGTTGAAATAGACTTGTAAAAATGAATTGTAGATTAATCACTGAACCGGTATCAAACTGGAAAAGTAGCATTAAAGGTAGCTTGGTGTTTATAACGCCGATTAATTAACGATTGATTTGTCTCTGTACCGCTTGGAACGAGTGGATGATGGACAAATCCTGCAGAAACCAAACGAAGAAAGTGTAGCTAATTCCGATGCCAGAGAATCGCCAATCAACTTATGTATCGACATGTCAGAGGTTTTCCCATAACTATGAAGATGTAGTGTTTGAATTATAGGCTCCATTCCATGTTAGTTCTGGTGGTGTTTTTTTTACCAAATCGCTAATCGTATAATGCGCACCCCGTTTTGACATGACAATATTTACCTAAAAAAGTGTGCATTATTCGCAATATCAATATGGGTGGGCACTTTGCCGATAGATTTTTTAAAACTATTTGTTGATGATTCCTTCCTCATTGAAATTACAACAGAGACGAATATGCTCAACACAAACTGAACAATCCTGACCTGAAAAATCAGTCGTATGAAAAAATGGCAGCCCCTTTCTGTTGATGAAATGAAAGTATTTATCGCCCTGTTAATCGCCATGGGATTGGTGCAGAAAAATGACATACAGCAGTATTGGTCCAGTGATGAAACAAATGAAACATCATTTTTCAAGAACCACATGTCGAAGAGATCTTTTTTGGCTATACAAAGTAATTTTCATCTGAACAATAACGATCTACAGGTACAGAGGGGACAGGTGGGATTCAACCCCCATTACAAAATAACAGACTGCAACATTAGGCACTAGACCGATGCCCACGACTAGTAAATTTAAGTCTGGACTAGTATTGAAAATATTTAACTAGTCCGGCTGGACTAGTGCCAATTTCCCCCAAAAATAATGGAAATATTATTCTCCCACACCTGACAGATTTATCTCCCGTTTTGCCGGTGCTAGATTTATCTGTCTCCGCCCTAGGGTTGAGACGGGGGGATTCCCCTATTCATAACAATGGCATGACGTCACGTCAACAATCCATCAACAAATTGCCTTTATGTGTTTTGGGTCCATGTTTATCTTTATTTCACATTAAAATACTGTTAGATATGGGAGAAAGATAATCAATCGCTACTGGTTGTGTAAGATAGCGAAATCTCAACCCTCGGACTAAGATTTTTTGTCCCGAAGGAGGCTTGGGTTGAGATTTCTCTATCTTACACAACCAGTAGCGATAGATTCTATTATTAATTGCATACATTTTGCACAATAAAGCTTGTCACAAGTTTTAATCCTATCGTAAAATACGATATTCGTCGAAGCGTTCAAAATTGAAGCGTTTCGATGAACAAGAATGGGTTTCGGATTTTAGTAGTTACCGAAGATAACTTCCGGTTCATGACCACGTGAAACCAACCATGGCGATGCTGCTAAGCTGGAGGAAATGTTCAAGACCAGCTAAGCCTGTCCGTGAACAGACAGAAAAAGATGCTCTAACACGAAAGCAAAATTATGAAAAGAATCGCATAATGTCCTTTAGGCCGGAGTGGAAGAAAAACAGAACTTGGTTAGAATTTGACATCAAGTGTAAAAAATGTTTTGCAGTTACTGCAAGGCCACATCGAAACAAAACAAATCATGAAATGTGTTGAAGAGTCAGACAACTTCAGACTTGAGGCTATTGTGGCACATGAAAATTCTGCCTCTCTCAAAAGGAATCGACAACAAAAGTCCAAAAGCCCTCGGACGTAAAACACAGATTTATTTTGTTTTGATTTCTAATTATTTTCCAATTTAGATTACAATTTACACTTCATGCTGTAGAAAAGACCAGTCTGTAATTTGGACTAGCGAATTCACAGTCGGACTATTAAAAGTATGGGTTCACTAGTCGAAATGATTAGTGAGGAAAAAAGTTAACGTCACAAACTGAAATAATTAGACCATTTCTCAACATAGTTTTGGATAGGTTTTCTGATGTTTACTCACCTGAAAAAAATCTTAGCTTTGATGAGGCTACGTGTGCTTGGAAAGGGAACCTACACTTTAGAGTCTACAACCCTGCAAAGCCATCAAAGTTTGGTATGAAGCTGTACCAGGTGTGTGAGGCACGTTCTGGATACTGTATTGGCTTTAACATATATACTGGAAGCTCCGCGTGTGTAGACTTTGCGGACACTATACTTGGGGAGGAGAATGAGTGCACAACTACTACACGTATAGTGATTGGCCTCATGTCAAGATGTGGACTTTTAGACAAAGTACATCATGTTTATATGGATAATTATTATACGTCGCCTGAACTTTTCATGGAACTACACCTGCAGAACACCTACGCATGTGGTACGTTACAAAAGAATTGTTTAGGTGTGCCAGATGTATTAAAGAAACCTACCATGAAACTGAAACAATCAGAGCCTATCTTCAGAAGAAAGGAAAGTCTTCTTGCTGTGAAATGTCATGACAAGCGAGATGTCCATATGCTGTCAACCATTCATGAGGCAATGGTCAGTGTTCTGGACAAAGTTGACCGCAACACTATAGCCAACAGGTTGCTTAGCTCACATGTATTGCAGATTACGTTGCTCTAATGGGAGGGGTGGACTTGTCTGACCAGATCAATCACTACTACTCTTGCCTTCGCAAAACATCAAAGTTGTATAAGAAGCTCTTTTTCCACCTTCTGAACGTGTGCATCATCAATGCCTACATACTCTTCAAAAAGTTTGGACCAAATGATGGATGCAAGAAGAAACATCACGCCTTTAGGATGTCTGTTTGTGAATCCCTACTCTCTGAGGCTGTGACGGCCCCTCGGGCATACCTGGAAAGGGGTAGAAAGTCTGTGGGAATAAAACCAACACGCTTGACTGATCGTCACTTTCCGAACTACATCCCTGCTGAGTCTACAACCCTGCAAAGCCATCAAAGTTTGGTATGAAGCTGTACCAGGTGTGTGAGGCACGTTCTGGATACTGTATCGGCTTTAACGTATATACTGGAAGCTCTGCGTGTGTAGACTTTGCGGACACTATACTTGGGTAGGAGAATGAGTGCACAACTTCTACACATATAGTGCTTGGCCTCATGTCAAGATGTGGACTTTTAGACAAAGGACATCATGTTTATATGGATAATTATTATACGTCGCCTGAACTTTTCATGGAACTACACCTGCAGAACACCTACACATGTGGTACGTTACGAAAGAATTGTTTAGGTGTGCCGGATGTTATAAAGAAACCTACCATGAAACTGAAACAATCAGAGCCTATCTTCAGAAGAAAGGAAAGTATTCTTGCTGTGAAATGTCACGACAAGCGAGATGTCCATATGCTGTCAACCATTCATGGGTCAATGGTCAGTGTTCTGGACAAAGTTGATCGCAACACTAGCCAACAGGTTGCTTAGCTCACATATATTGCAGATTACGTTGCTCTAATGGGAGTGGTGGACTTGTCTGACCAGATCAATTACTACTACTCTTGCCTTCACAAAACATCAAAGTTGTATAAGAAGCTCTTTTTCCACCTTCTGAACGTGTGCATCATCAATGCCTACATACTCTCCAAAAAGTTTGGACCAAATGATGGATGCAAGAAGGAACATCACGCCTTTAGGATGTCTGTTTGTGAATCCCTACTTTCTGAGGCTGTGACGGCCCCTCGGGCATATGTGGAAAGGGGTAGAAAGTCTGTGGGAATAAAACCAACACGCTTGACTGATCGTCACTTTCCGAACTACATCCCTGCTAAGCCGGGTGCAAAGCGGGCACGCCCCTTACGTGAATGTTTTGCATGCAACTAATAAAAGAAGACGAGGTGGACTTGTCTGACCAGATCAATTACTACTACTCTTGCCTTCACAAAACATCAAAGTTGTATAAGAAGCTCTTTTTCCACCTTCTGAACGTGTGCATCATCAATGCCTACATACTCTCCAAAAAGTTTGGACCAAATGATGGATGCAAGAAGGAACATCACGCCTTTAGGATGTCTGTTTGTGAATCCCTACTTTCTGAGGCTGTGACGGCCCCTCGGGCATATGTGGAAAGGGGTAGAAAGTCTGTGGGAATAAAACCAACACGCTTGACTGATCGTCACTTTCCGAACTACATCCCTGCTAAGCCGGGTGCAAAGCGGGCACGCCCCTTACGTGAATGTTTTGCATGCAACTAATAAAAGAAGACGAGGTGGACTTGTCTGACCAGATCAATTACTACTACTCTTGCCTTCACAAAACATCAAAGTTGTATAAGAAGCTCTTTTTCCACCTTCTGAACGTGTGCATCATCAATGCCTACATACTCTCCAAAAAGTTTGGACCAAATGATGGATGCAAGAAGGAACATCACGCCTTTAGGATGTCTGTTTGTGAATCCCTACTTTCTGAGGCTGTGACGGCCCCTCGGGCATATGTGGAAAGGGGTAGAAAGTCTGTGGGAATAAAACCAACACGCTTGACTGATCGTCACTTTCCGAACTACATCCCTGCTAAGCCGGGTGCAAAGCGGGCACGCCCCTTACGTGAATGTTTTGCATGCAACTAATAAAAGAAGACGAGGAGTGAAATGTTCCAGAGGAAACGAACATCTTTCTGGTGTGAAGAGTACAAAGTTGCACTGTGTGTACCAAAGTGCTTTCAGGTGTACCACACTATACACAACTATAGAGGTGTTCTCTTACCTGGTAACGAGAATTCATCTTCCAGCGACTCGGAATAGATCATTTGTTCAGGAACTGTGTTATTTAGGAGTTTTGTAGTTTCTGAGACTGTATGTAATACTTACTCAAACCAGGTTTCATGCAGAAAAAAAACCACACACTTTTGACAAAATGAGCAGAAGTAGCTTTTTATTCCTTAACAAGTTTCGGGTTTACCTGTCATTTTTACCTGTCTATTTCCTCACATTTGTATTGAAAAAATCCCAAACATTAATTCGTTGATAAATTATTGTAACAGCAATAAATGGAGTGAAAGAATATATATATTAAATTTCTACAAATACTTTTCAAAATACAGTAGTTTTAAAACAACATGTAATAATTAAACAATTTCATTAATTAATTCAGCAGTGGTGTCCCTTTACATAGAAATCAATGTAGCAGTCTAAGGGGTAATATGCTTACCTGAATAGAGGATCATAACTTTTGGGGTATTGATTCCTGTTGACATATTGACATAGCTGTCCGCCAGAACTTTCCCATGTATCTGTAGTAGCTCCCGTTGAATTATATGCATAAATGTCCACTGTTGTGATGTTACAAGTGCCATAGAAATCTTTGTCTACAACTCCGTCCACCTTGAGATAGGCAAGAATTGGTTTGCTCATAGGGTGGTACAATGCTGAATGATAGATTCTGTCTGCATCACTGGCTGGGACAGCGCCGGGTGAATAGGTTGGATCAAGGTCAACAGTAATAACGGCTGCTTCCAATAATCCTGCAAAAATACAATAACGAGTGATTTTCTTTATCTTTTAAAAACACAGGGGTGACACTCACAGTCTCACGATTTCATTGATCAGACCTTGTCCAAGAATAGTTTTACTTGTATATTCAGAGCTAATTGTATTGAAATTAAGAAAAATAAGTGAAATATAAAGGAAGAAAAGGAATGTTCAAAACACTTTTTCTATCAATAACAGACTTACCATTGAATTATAGACAACTTTTCATAACGTGATACTGATGAAACAGATATCAAAAGCCTTCATTGGAATTTTATTAGTATATTGATTGGGATACAGTTTATGTCTTGAACTGATATGTTCCAGTGAGGGCTTCTTGGGAAAATAAATCAAATGTTGGTGTAATCAAGGGTACTGTGAAAGCGAAATATAATATGCCCGTCATACATTTAGTTAGCAGTCAGTTGCCTGTATGGTTGTACATAAAGGGCCATAACTCCACAAGTTACGGTTGGACAATAGCTGTTATCAAACTTGTCCGAGCTACCATGGCAATGAACCTTCCTCAGGGGTTTTGCCAGGTGTTTGTAGTGTCTGGTTAAACAGGGACCAATTCCCAATTGAAAAATAACCCTTTATTTTCCTAATTTCAGTCTTTATATTCCATGGCCCGTATTTATGAAACCGTTCTCATGCTCAAGCACAAATTTTGAGCTCAAGTCTAATTTCTTGTTCCAGTTATAAATTATTTAAAAAACCTTATTTTGTTAAAGTTTGGAAAAATATTGAAGAAATTTGAAGCCGAATACTGTTTTCAATATTTAAATTTGACTTTTTTGATCGTTGACATGATTTAGGTGGGTTACAAGAAAGCTGGCTTGAGCACAGAATCCATGCTTGAGCCTGAGATCGGTTTCATGAATACAGGCCCAGGGTTATTGCCAGCTATTTTGAGAAAGGGCCCCCCTGAGCAGGAATTGGGGAAATATCATCGGCATTTGGCAAAAAATGGGAAATATCATCCAAATCGGATCAGTACCCAAATCAGATCACTTTTTGCAAAAATACTTTTAAATCAACAAATGTGTCAACAGATCAGTTATAACAATGATGTACCTTAGAATAGATAGCCATGCACCATTTTTTGTCTTCAGATGATAAGGCTAGATTTCAAGTTCAAATAGCACCAGAAAACGTAATTCAAACTCAAAAGTCAAGTGTTTTGTTTAGATTTTTAGAAATTGGTGCATGCGACGAGTATGCATTCTGTTTTGGACTTTAGGAATAAATTCACGCTATAGAAATACTTGTTTTCATATAAATTCCAAAGATCATCATAAAATGTTAATATGCTGACAAAAAAATATTCATTTGAAGTGTAAGATACTGTTAAATTCAAGCCTTGATCTGATTTAGGTCCTGACATTAGCAACAAGAGTACTGCGGGGCGTAACAATATACGCCCATTGAATGCCATATAGTGTTATATACTTTCTTGCATTGATACAAGATCTGCATCATTCTAAGAGTGGTTAGCCGACATGCTATAAAAATGTAGGAGAAAATCTCCGGACAAAAATTCAAAACTGTACTGAAACGAACAAAGGGCAAGAACTTCAAGAAAAATTGTCAAATCAGAATTCTTTTAAGGGAGACACAACTTCATATCATGGTTATAATGTATACCAAGTTTCAAAGAGATCCGTTGAAAAGTGTAGGAGGAGATTGCTGGGGAAAAATCAAATACTGAAATTATCAAAGGGCAATAACTTTTTTTTTAAATTGCCAGACAAACAGACGGATGCACAACCGCATACCATAATACTTCCATCAAATTTGACGGACGTATAAAAACTGGAACCGCTGAAAGGTGACTTCAGAGCACTCTAAAAATATTTCATGTGAGCCCTGGTTGCTCATTTTTTTGTAAGAACACCCATCAATATTCTTCCTTTGATACAGCCATAAACGAATATAATTCATCCTCAGAATTTTCAAAGAATGAATAAAATGATGGTTTGCAACTTTGGTGATCCAATTTGGGTACTGTCACCTTACAACTAATGCGACATGAAATCAACAACAGAAACTTCTTGAAATTTTATGGATGTCTCTCACTCCAAGCTACATTATAAATGTACTTTATTCCACACAGCCAAGCAGAAATGAAAACAGGCTGTAATCACTGCCAAGGGATATGCAACGAAGTACCTATAGTTTCAGGTAAATCCTTTAATTAGTTTTTGTGTTGCTATCTCAATATAACATCGATTTATGAAAATCTGAAAACAGGACATCATGGAAATGTAGACGACTTAGGGAACCACACTTTAAATGCTGTAAAGTGTTGGTCGAAAATCTCTGACCTGTAATGCGAGGTCTCTTTCTACAGGCTAATTTTCCAGGGTTTGATCTTGCCTTAGGCTTTCAGTCGCTGGGTACGTTATAACCTAATAACGTAGTATTAGAACAAGATCAATATTAATAGTAGTTGCGTGCCCTTGTGCTTTGATCAAAGCTAATCATTTGGACGCAGATTTCATCTGGCCTACAATAAGTTTTTCACGTGATCCAGTTAGGAGAGACTTTAATGAAGTACTGAAGGCAAATTTTTGAGATTATTGTATTAGAATATTTGTTTACCTATCAGAGAATTTCGAAATCGGGTGTGTTTTTACCAATATGTAAACACGCCGCCATTGTGACCGAATGCTGGCTCGTCACTGGCATGCCATGTTTTCTTCCGTAAACAAACGAAAACATCTATTACTTTTCATCAAAACATCATTCTTACCTGCTAACAAGAGCAATGACACAGCTGTAACTACTAAATACATATTTTTTCGTTGATAAAGTCGCATGCGTCGAATCTTGGGGCTACATCTCTCGCGAAATAAAATCCGCCATTGAAATTTCCGTCTTCAAAACGCGCGCGTGAGGACTTTCTAAACGTGACGTCACAACATGGCGCCGATTGTGTAGTGGTCAGCAGTTAAATTTCTTGTGAATGTAGCATAGCCTACGCAGTAAACATTTCATCAAAGTCTTTAATTGTTGTATTTCTGCATTTAGGGTAATCAATAATTCTTTGAAATAATATCAAATAACTTAAAAGGTGTCATTTGAACACTGTATACAAAAAAGAAGCATATATAAGATACCGATCCAGGTGGTCACATAAACGTTTCACAATTCTTTTCGAAACGACACTTTCACTTTCATTTTGTTCGATGAGTGCTCATTTACAGTCGGTTTTAAGTGAATTTGGGACCTTTTTAAAGCTCCAATCACTAGATTATATCTGTTATTTTCCCCAAAAATTATTGCAAAATTAACTTTATTTTCCAAAATTCATGCTTTTGTGGATGATATTTCCTGAAGTTCATATTCGATGGAGATTTTTTTTCTGTATGGCAAAAAAATGTGTTAAGTATAAAAATAAATTAAGAGATATTTTGTGACATGCATTTGGTTCTGTGAAGTCTTAATAATAGGTTACAGTTCCCTATTGAATTCCATAAGCGACAGCGTCCTGCTTACTGGTTACTGCGTACTGTCAGCTATAGATCCACTGCCTATTGCTTGCTGTTTGCTATATATTTACTGATTACTGTATACTGTATACTGCTTACTGCCTACTGCTTACTATAGACTACTGCCTACTGCTTCCTTTATTTTAACTACTTTCACTGCTTACTGCCTTCTGCCAGCTATACTGCGTACTGCCAGCTAACAGTTATTTATCCACTGCTTACTGATTGCTATATTACTGCCTACTGCTTAAGTACTGCAAACAGCAAGCAGTACACAGTGGATATATAGCTGGCAGTACACAGTAAGCAGTAAGCAGTGAAAGAAGTAGATAAAATATAGCAAGCATTAGGCAGTAACCAGTAAGCAGGACGCTGTCGCTTATAGAATTCCGTAGTGTCCCTTTGCATTCTATATTATTCATTTTTTATGCCCGCCATAAAATAGGGGGGGGGGGGATAAAGTGTTGCCCATGTCCGTCCTGTCTCGTCCCGATTCAAAGTAAACACTTAGCAACCTCATTTTTACACAGATTCTCGCCAAAGGTAAAGCATGAGTATACCTCGGACATCATTGTGTAAGTTCAGGGTTCCAAGGTCAAGGCCAAAGTCACGGTTGCTATATATAGAAAACCATCAACCGATTCAGTGTCATCACTCTAGCTGCTTCATTTATTCACAGCTTTTGATGAAAGTTTATACACAGGTTACCTCGGACATTGTTTTTGTGTTTCATGGTTCCAAGGTCGAGGCCAAGGTCGACAACTGTAGATATATATAGAAAATCATCAACCGATTCATGAACAGATTTTGATGAAAGTTTATACACAGAATACATCGGATGAGTTCATGTTTCAGGATTACAAGGTCAAGTGACTAAGTCTCAAGGGTGGGGCCTGACCCCAGAGCCATCCGGAAAGCATATGTGCATGCATCTCTTTATACTCAACAATTGTATATATGTATATAGTTCTAGAGAAGAGGTCGTTTATAGAAATATAGCAACAAGAGGCCCAATGGGCCTGAATCGTTCACCTGGTATTAATCTCACACTTGTAATCTTAAAAGTGGACTAAAATACAGCTACAGGCAGAATATCAGTGTTTGATTCATGAGAACCTATTAAAAGATTTAAACATATGACGCCTGTGACCTTGAATGTCGAACACGGACATTAGGTTGAAAGTTTTGTTTGTTTGTTTGTTTGTTATGTTTAACGGCTCTTCGACGGCTGTGGTCATTTAGGGCCATGGATTTATTTTTTAACAAACATGTGAGTAACGAAGATAAAATCAAATAAAAGGTTCATTTTAAATGCATTCGTATTGTATGTGTAAATAATTAAAATATAAAGGGAGTTCAAATAATAAAAGAGATAACGAATAGATGATATGGACTATGTGATATATATAACGTCAAAAAGGGTATGGAGGGTTAAAAGACATCAGAGTCTATAGAATAGATCGATGTCCTTCAAATAGTTAAATAATGCCTTCGAGTCCACGGAACTGAAAAGAGCTTTCATATTCGTGACTCGAAAGTAGTTATCGCGAATGTGTTTAAAATCGGAACATTCTATTAAAAAATGTTCCACTGTAAATGGAGTGTCACATGCGTGGCATGAAGGTGGATGAGTAAGATATGTGTGCCCAGTACGGAGCCGAGCGAGGACGACTTCCTCTCTACGATCTTTCCGACTTGGAATAGATGTTTTAAGTTTCGGTTGTACTTTTAAAAGTTTGTTGCTGGTCTCGAGATTCATTTTGAATGGCTGTACGAATAATTGGTTTAACATCTGTATATGGTAGTTTGATATTTGTTTGTTGGAGATTCAATGCATTCTTTGCTTCCTTGTCAACAAATTCGTTGCCTTTAATTCCGACATGGCTCGGAATCCATAGTAAAGTTATCTTAGACTTTTTTAAGATACGAGATATTCGGAGAGCAAGATTTTGTACGAGTGTGTTTTTAGGATCTCGTAACTGTAAACTCTGTAGGACAGGTAGAGAGTCTGAACAAATGATTGCCTTTTTAATGCGGTGTTCATCGATATGGTCGAGGGCCAAACCAATGGCGCATGCTTCGGCAGAATAGATGGAGGCGCCGTCTGGTAGTCGAACTGAAGTGCAAGAATTAGCAGTATAGCAGGCTGCTGCCACTTTCTCACCTTCTTTGGAACCATCGGTGTAAAGTTGTGTATGAGAAGGGTAATTCGAAATGCATTCCCGAAAAGAGGATTTGTGTTCTTCGGGCATAACACTTGATTTCCCTCGCTCATGAAATGTAAAGTTAAAATCATGTGTTTGAATGGTCCACGGAGGAACATCAGATATGTTAAATTGAGCTATGTCATTCAACTTTATGTTGAGTTCTTGCAGGAAATTTGAAATTCGGATACCAAAAGTTGGCAGAAGTTTTAGGTTTTGCGTAAATATGTTTTGGTATTTTGGGTTGAATACTCGGTCGAAAGCAGGATTTATAGGGTTTAATTTTAATTGAGCTGCAAACTGTAATGCAATTTTTTTCCTTCTGTCATTAAGGGATGGTTCATTTGCTTCCACGTCCAGGCTTTTTACAGGTGTTGTTCGAAAAGCTCCAAGGGCTAGACGTAACCCTTGGTTATGGATTGGGTCTAGCATCTCCGCGCCGACCCCTATACCATAGAACCATAGTCCAGTTTTGTTCGAATAAGTGATATGTATAGGCGAAGACGCATTTCACGGTCCGCTCCCCAATCAGTATGAGAAAGGATTCGTATAATGTTTAACGCCTTGGAACACTTATCCTTCAGATACTTTATATGTGGTATGAAAGAGAGATTCGAATCAAAAATGAGGACTAGAAATTTAGTCCGTTCAACAAAAGGAATTCTAGTGCCATCGTGTGTAAGGTTTTGGTCATTGTGTGCTTTTCGCTTTTGACAGAAATGCATGCACGAAGTTTAAGATTTAGAGAATTTGAAGCCGTTTTCGTCTGCCCAATTTTGTAGTTTGTTTAAACTCTGTTGAAGTTGTCGTTCTATCGTGTGCATGTTCTTTGATCTGTAACAGATCAAGAGGTCATCCACAAATAACGACCCATCTGCTGATTGACCAAGACTTTTGACTATATCGTTGATTTAAAGACCAAAAAGGGTGACTGATAGGATTCCATCCTGTGGGACTCCCATTTCCTGTTTAGACGTTTCAGAAAAAAATGAACCAACACGGACTTTGAAGTCTGTCTGATAGGTAATTTGATATAAAATTGGGAAGGTTTCCACGTACGCCAAGGTCTTCATCGAGTCTGATGAGATGGGCATTCGTCCCTCTTCTGTTTCTAAAACCACTTTGAAGAGGGGATATTATATCGTTGGCCTCAAGAAACCAAACCAGTCTTGTTTTTATCATTCGTTCTAAAGTTTTACATACACAACTAGTCAGAGAAATAGGACGATAGTTGTTTGGGTCGGTAGCATCCTTTCCCGGTTTTGGGATAGGTATAATTGTGGAGTTCTTCCACGAATCGGGAATCTTTCCGGAAGCGTAAACTTGGTTGAATATGTAAAGAAGGCATGTAAGTGACGAGTCCGGTAAGTGCTTGAGAAATTGATATGTCCTGTGATTTTCTAAGCGAATCAACAAGTTCTGGTAGGGTTAATGGCTCATTATAACTTTCTTTGTGTGATGATTTGAAATTTAGTTGTTTCTTTTCCCCTTTCTTCTTTAAAGACTGTAATTTTCGGGAGTGGTTTAAAGGGGATGAGTTTTATGCTATGTTTTTTGCAAATGCATCAGCAATTTCAGACCTAGACGGAAAAAAAAGCTTTTGGAGGTGGGAGGATGTTGACTTTTTCTTTTCCCCACTTATTTTCCGAATCATATCCCATACTTTTTTGGAGGACGTGTTTGATGATATCTTGGATACATATTCTCTCCAGCTGTTTCTTTTGTCTATTTTAAATGATCGCCGAGCCTTTGCCCGCCAACTTTTAAAATCACTGTAGTTTGAAGCAGTTGGACAATTCAAGTAGCGTCTTAGAGCAGCTGCCCGATTACTGCGTGTTTTAAAAGATTCTTCTGATAAAAGGAACTTCGTAGGTTTGGAGCGGATTTTGGAATTGTCTTTTGGGCAATAGAAGTGAGTATTTCAGTAAAAAAATTTGATTGGGTCGTCGAGGTTAGTTAAATTTTCTGTGGTAAGCGCCTCATTGCACATGTGTTGGAATTGGACCCAATCTGCTTTGTGCACATTCCATCGAGGTAGAGGATCATCAAGAGGAGTCCAAATATTCTGAAGAAAAAAGGGAAGTGGTCACTCCCACAAAGATCATTATTTACCTTCCAGTCATAATCAAGTAGAATGGAAGGATGGCATAATGATAGATCAATGTGGGTACGAGATCCTGTAGCAGGGTGTAAATAGGTAGGGGTATTGTTGTTAAAAAGGCACAAGTTGTTTTTATGTATAAATTCCTCAATACGTCTTCCTCTCACGTCCGTGTTTGGAGAGCCCCACAGAATAGTATGACCATTGAAATCACCGAGGATTATGAATGGTGTTGGGAGCTGGGAAACGATGCCGTGCAGTTGCTCACAAGTGAAAACAATACTCGGAGGGAGATAAATTGAACAGACGGTTATTTGTTTGTGTACTATTGCACAGACAGCAACAGCCTGTACATTTGTGTTTAACTTGATCATTATGTGAGGAATATTTTTATGGATAGCTACAGCTGTACCACCTGCTGCTCTGCTACCTACAGTTGGAATGTTAGTGTAGAGTGAGAAATTTCTAAGAGTGATTGGGTTTTTGAGCTTTATTTCTTGTTGACAAAAAACGGCGGGTGAAAATATTTTGGTAGATTCTGAAATTCTTCTATATTTGCCTTTAATCCGCGGATGTTCCATTGGATAATTGTATTGTTATTTTTTTTCTATTTTGGCTGGATTTCGATGGAGCTTTTCGAACAACACCTGTAAAAAGCCTGTACGTGGCAGAAGGAAAAAACTTGCTTTACAGTTTGCAGCTCAATTAAAATCAAACCCTAAAAATCTGCTTTCGACCGAGTATTCAACCCAAAATACCAAAACATTTTACGCATTGTCCGTGCACGACGGACAATGCACTGCACTGCACATGACGAGGACAATGCACTGCACACGACGAGGACAATGCACTGCACATGACGAGGAAGACGCACTGCACATGACGAGGACAACGCACTGCACATGACGAGGACAATGCACTGCACATGACGAGGACAATGCACTGCACATGACGAGGACAATGCATTGCACATGACGAGGACAATTCACTGCACATGATGAGGACAACGCACTGCACATGATGAGGACAATGCACTGCACATGAGGACAATGCACTGCACATGATGAGGAAAATGCACTGCACATGATGAGGACAATGCACTGCACATGACGAAGACAATGCACTGCACATGACGAGGACAATTCACTGCACATGATGAGGACAACGCACTGCACATGAGGACAATGCACTGCACATGAGGACAATGCACTGCACATGATGAGGACAATGCACTGCACATGATGGATGACGCAGTGTCTTAATTTTTATTTCTGTGATGGTGGTGGTAATGGCATGACAATGACGATAAAGCCACTGTGGTTTCCATTAAACTGAAGCAGCTTCCCACCAATATACTTCGGGTACCACTCCCATTACTTGGCTCCCAGCATAGAAACCCAAGTCAAGGCCCCTGTGACCTTGGCGATACAGATAAGGCCATAGTTGACAGCAAGTTATTTGATGTTCAGACATGGCCATTGTTGAGATTTATATGCTATACAGATATGGCCATTGTTGAGTGTTATTTGCTATACAGATATGGCCATTGTTGAGTGTTATTTGCTATACAGATATGGCCATTGTTGAGTGTTATTTGCTATACAGATATGGCCATTGTTGAGTGTTATTTGCTATACAGATATGGCCATTGTTGAGTGTTATTTGCTATACAGATATGGCCATTGTTGAGTGTTATTTGCTATACAGATATGGCCATTGTTGAGTGTTATTTGCTATACAGATATGGCCATTGTTGAGTGTTATTTGCTATACAGATATGGCCATTGTTGAGTGTTATTTGCTATACAGATATGGCCATTGTTGAGTGTTATTTGCTATACAGATATGGCCATTGTTGAGTGTTATTTGCTATACAGATATGGCCATTGTTGAGTGTTATTTGCTATACAGATATGGCCATTGTTGAGTGTTATTTGCTATACAGATATGGCCATTGTTGAGTGTTATTTGGTATACAGATATGGCCATTGTTGAGTGTTATTTGGTATACAGATATGGCCATTGTTGAGTGCTATATGCTATACAGATATGGCTATTGTTGAGTGCTATTTGCTATACAGATACGGCCATTGTTGAGTGTAATTTGCTTTACAAATATGGCCATTGTTGAGTGTAATTTGCTATACAGATATGGCCATTGTTGAGTGTAATTTGCTATACAGATATGGCCATTGTTGAGTGTTATTTGCTATACAGATATGGCCATTGTTGAGTGTTATTTGCTATACAGATATGGTCATTGTTGAGTGTTATTTGCTATACAGATATGGTCATTGTTGAGTGTTATTTGCTATACAGATATGGCCATTAATGAGTGCTATTTGCTATACAGATATGGCTGTTGTTGACAGTTATTTCCTGTACAGATATGGCCATTGTTGAGTGTTATCGGTATTAGAAATAACTGTCAACAATGGCAATATACAATGGCCATATCTGTATAGGAAGTAACTGTCAACAATGGCCATATCTGTACAGGAAATAACTCAACAATGGCCATATCTGTATAGCAAATAGCACTCATTAATGGCCATATCTGTATAGCTACGCAGAAGTACTTAACAGATGTGGCCTTACCTACAGTTTAAAATGTATTGTCTTGTCCCATACTGGAGGTACGTTGTATGTATTTTGCCGATAGCTATGAACTTTCCTCAATTACATATTCTTTTTCAACCTTATAGAGGGCAAGTATATGAATCAGTTGCACTACATTTGATTAAAATCACTATCTTCAAATATGGATTGACTTTCATTTTGATGATGTATACAGTGGTATGAACGCACTTGGCAAAGAACATGTTCAATGGTGAGCGTTATCATTGACAGACTGCTCCGGTAGTAACACAGTTGAACACTTTCCAAACCTGGAAACTTGAATGTGCATCTATATGGAATAAGAAGATGATACATGATGGATTCTGGAGAAGGGAGAGAAGTTAATAATAACACTACGCTACATAGCGGTAGTGGTAATGAAGATATGTTTTCAAATGATTGAGTCCCATTAATAAATGAACGTATTCAAATTTCCATCATCTCTCGATAAACAAATCTGAATATCTCACATTCATTTTATTACCTTTATTTTCCTACCTAGATGTTACATCTAGTAGACATCCATCCACTGGTATATTTTCACATGCATTTTGACCTATCTAATCAATTTCATCTTACTGAGAGTATGAAACGGGTATCCACACACACAAACATAACCTCAAAACACTTTTAACAAGCTTCCATTTCATACAACTTTTATGAAACACCCTTATTTCTTATTAAAATATATGGAATGGTCTTTTTATCATGTGCATTATGAAAGCACCTAAAGAGACACATCTTAGTAAAGAAATTGACCAGAAAAAACATTTAATTTTTGCTTAGCTGTGAATTGAGATATTGCTCCTTGTGACATCATGTAGATCGTATTCCGACTGCAAAGTCAGCAAAAACAAAAAACTTATTTCAAATTTACGCACTATAAAGTACATCCTGTTTCTGTATTAAAGTCCTATAGCCCTCTCATGCAAAGTGAAACTTTGATACTGTGTGAGGCTATGATAGCAATGAATATGTGAAATATGTGTGTTTACTTAAAATGTATGACAAACACGCCAGACAATTTTGTTTTACAAATTAAATTAGCCAGTCTCTACTGGTAAACAAAAACATTAGTAAAAATATTTACAGTAAATCCCTTGATTTCCGTGTGTTTCATTTTTGATAGTAATAAACAATGGAATAAATGTTTGCTGAAGATGTAATTTTCGCAAATGAGTCTCCTCAAGAAATGACATGTGACAAAAACCTCTCACATAACACTGGTGACAAAAATGAAGTGATTCACAGTATGCTTAATGTAGTATAAATTCAAAATTGTCATTTTCAAGTAAATTTACATGAAAAATTAAACATATAAATTACATTCCTTCTTCACATCTGATTCTTTATAGGAACACTTCTTGAGCAAGTCATTCAATACTCTAGAACCTATTGCACATTTCCACAGGGAAGATGTTTGAATCTGTTCTTTGAAGCAGTATCTGGTACCGTTCCTGCTTTGTCAGACCTGTGCCCCAGTAGTAATGAGATCTACCTGATGGTTACCAGTAACACAGACACACAGTGACAATGACACACTAGTTAGGACTTTGTTTGAAGTAACGCTGTTTCTGTGAATCACCTAGACATCTGCTATATTGTATCCCTCAGTTTATATATCACAGTTTGACTGGCTTTCTCTTGCTCCTCAGCCGTGACGCCTTGGCAGGTTCAGATCCACGGAGTGTCTTTGTGGTAGCGTCCTCCTTCTTAGCTCGTTGGCGCGTCACTATTCGACGTGGAGGTTGTTCTTGTTCTTCCATGATTGGACTGACCAGTAAGACTGTCTCCTCAACAGCCTTCTTCTTGCTGTAAAAAAACATTTAGTTGAGTTAGATGGTACGGATGCTACATTGATGTTTTGCTGTGACAAAAAATCTTTTCATTTGCACAGTGACATATTTTTATGTATTAGAATTATTTCTGACTTTTGTCCCATTTACGAAAGTCTATTAACATGTCTCAATTGAACCAACAATAAACTGTAGATGAATCAGGGCATTATAAAGTATTACATTTTCCTTGCAGCCTTCTTCTCCTTCTTGACAGGAACAGGTTGTGGTGGAGGCGTTGCCTCGGGTTGTGGAGGAAGAAGTATAGACATAGGGGTTACTGCTTCAGCTTTTAGTTCTAGCTCCCGACTGCTGCGCTTCCTGGCTGCTTGGGACCTGTAGAAACTTTCTCGGGATCTCGTAATAGGCGGTGAGAATATAAACGACTTCAATGGTGTTGATGGCTTTACATCTTCATCTGCTGAAGAATAGAAAACATCGGATGAGAGAATGAGCAAAACAATGGAGATAAAACAAAATATGTTACAATATACCATATACCAGGAAATATTTGCTGCAGTTTAACTTTTTTGCCGTCCACAATGAGGGCAAATTTACCTTAACAGTTATTAAACATGAAGGGCAAAATTAAAGCTGGGCAAATAAAGGTTTTACCATCGTAGGGCGAAAGTTTGACGTGTCGAAGTTTTCCTGGCATACAGTATACATTTCTCTAGTCATGTGATTCAATGAAAGTTTTTAAAATCACAAATGGAGTAATTGTTATTTCATTGTAAAATATACCCACCTGATGGAAATCTGCTTATTTTTGAGGGCAGTCTGAACGCTCACCCGTTACACACATTTTATTTTGCCTTCTGTGCAGTCAGTACTTTAAGCAAGAACAACCTAAACGTTGATGAGGTCACATAAAGAAGTTCTCACATTGAGCACAGTACTGACAAACATTATACCTTTTCTCTTACCCTGGACAGGGATATCCACCCTTTTACCAGTGTGAGATTTTCTTATCTCACCCTAGGGTTGAGACAAGCTACACATGTTCTTTGCACGTTCTCAACAATTGAATGACGTCATAGCTACAATACCATGACGTCAGGGCAACAATACAATGACGTCACGTCGACAATTCAGCCGCATCACATCAACATTGTCTTGCATTGATGTAACGTCTATATAAAATACATAAGAGGGTAAACAGGGTAAGAGAAAAATAATCATTCCCCCCCTTGAGAGTGAGACAGGGTGATCTCAACCCTCGGGGTAAGATTCTTAAGCTGTCAAACACGAGGCTTCGAGTGTTTGACAGCTTAAGAATCTTACCCCGAGGGTTGAGATCACCCTGTCTCACCCTCAAGGTGGTGAAAGATTCTATTAATATCACTGGAGTTACTCACCCTGCTTGAAGTCCATTAATACAGGTTCTGCAAATGTGAACGAGCTAGCTTCCACAAATTCTGTTGATATAAAAGTGTGTAACTGTTACGGCATGTACAATGCAGTACTGAACCAAACTCCAGATTTATTCTAAGATATTCTATGATAATAATGAATGTCCAGAGAAAAGTGAAAACGTACCGTTTTTTAATGCTGAGGCCTTTACTATGAAAATATAGATTGGGTATGACCTGCAGGCTAGTATTCTAAATATGAAATTGTTCACCTCTGATATTATACAGAAACTTAAGCGTTAGTTTTCTGCTAAAATTTAAGTTGTGTAGAAACTGAAGATATCTTTATTACAGTAGAGTGCTAGCCATATAATACTCACCCTCCGTCTTGGTGCTTGTTGATGATTGTTGGAGGAGTGTTGCAGTTTTCTGGACAGACTCTTCATTGTTTAAAGTATTTCCTCCTGCCTTTTTCTGTCCACGCCTTGTGGGTGTGGTAGGCTCCTGAGGGATCGGTAGTTCTGTAGTTGTATCAACTGAAGTGCCTCGACGACTCCGTCTTGTGGGTGTGGTCTGTTCCTGGGTAGATGGCACTGTTTCTGAAATATCTACAGAAATTCTGGACCCCCGTGTTTGTCTAGTTGGGGTGACAGGCTCTTGTGGGATATCCGAGATTTTAGAGCTTATATCAGGAGTAGGCTGTGCTTTGGAACGACCTCTTCTTGTTGGTGTCGTTGGCTCCTGTTGGGTTGAATCACCTACAGGGGTAGGCTGTGCCTTGGAACGACGTCTTGTGGGTGTCGTCGGCTCCTGTTGGGTTGAATCAACTACTGGGGTAGGCCATGCCTTGGAACGACCACGTCTTGTGGGTGTCGTCGGCTCCTGTTGGGTTGAATCAACTACAGGGGTAGGCTGTGCCTTGGAACGTCGCCTTGTGGGTGTCGTCGGCTCCTGTTGGGTTGAATCAACTACAGGGGTAGGCTGTGCCTTTGAACGACCACGCCTTGTTGGTGTCGTCGGCTCCTGTGAGTATGTATCAATTACAAGATTTGGCAGTTTCTTGGGACGTCCACGTCTTGTGGGTGTGGTCGGTTCCTCTGAAGGAACTTCAACATCAGGGACATGCTGTACTTGATGCAAAAGAGCGGGAGGGTCCTGAGGATCAGTCTCACCATCAGATTCCATTTTCAGCAGTGATTCTTTTATATGTTTTTGTGATGATTGTTGAGTAGATGTCAAAGGGTCATTGTCTCTATCAGGCTTTGTCTCGGAGATGAACACTTCCTGTTTTTGATGTCGTACAGATTTCCGAGTAGGTGTGAGTAATGGGGTTGCTATAGATCTGCCAGTCGGACTTCTAGACTCTGATTTCCTTGCCTGTAATTTTATAATTTATCAGAACTATATGAGCTGGAAAATATATTACAATATATATACCAGGAACCATTTGTTCATTTAATTTTTGTTATGCTAACTACATTATGTATGCTGTGTACTGATATTTGCTGTCACGATAAATTCATCATAATTAAGCAGATTAAAAAAGCAGAAAGTTTAATAATTCTGCCAATTCATTCCCCGATACAGTACAGACAATATTTACAAGATGTTTTACATTCATAGAGTCTTGTAAAATTTATATAAACAAGAGGCCCAGAGGGCCTGTATCGCTCACCAAAGCAATCATGGCAAAATATTCTCCAAATGAGATCAAGGGAATATGCCAGACCCCAAGGCCAATCCTTGTAGCATATCTGTATTAGATTTTTCATGCCCAGCAATTTTATGTATGGTTATGGGGTGGGGATCTCAACTGTTTCCAAGCTTTGACTCAGAAACTAGGTCCCTAGGAATGTGGCCAGACCCCAGGATCAATTCTAATATCGTGACTGCATTTGTCTCTTTTTCCCCAGCATTTGTATATATAGTTTTGGGGTGGGGATCTCAACCGTTTCAAAGTTATGTCCCAGGGGTTAAGTCTGCAAGGGTGGGGCAGACCCTGGGGTCAATTCTAATATCATGACTGCATGCGTCTTTTTAAGCCCAACAATTGTATATATAGTTTTGGGGTGGGGATCTCAAGAGTTTTAAAGTAATGGTCCAGGGACTATGTCTCCAAGGGTGGGGCCAGACCTTATAGCCATCCTGGAAGCAAATGTGCATTCTTCTCTTTATACTAAGCAATTGTATACCATGGTTATATGGTGGGGATCTCAACCATTTCCAAGTAATACACTTTTTTTGGCCCCACCCCTTAGCCCGGGGGGTCAGCCCCACCATTTGTACAATTTTGAATCCCTGCCTCCCATGAATGCTTCCGACCAAATATGATCAATATCCATGGCATAGTTCTACAGAAGAAGTCGTTTATAGCAATATAGCCAAATTGCCCCCTTTTTGGCCCCGCCCTCAGCCCCCTGGGGGCTTAGCCCCACCATTTGTACAATTTTAAATCCCCACCACCTAGGAATGCTTCCAGTCAAATGTGGTTGATATCTACTTCTTATTTACAGAGAAGAAGGCCCTTAAATCAATATTGCAATATTGACCCCTTTTTGCCCCGCCTCTCAGCCCCCTGGGGGGTCAGCTCCATCATTTGTACAATTTTGAATCCCTGACACCTAGGGATGCTTCCAGTCAAATATGGTTGATTTTCGACTTCTTAGTTCCAGAGAAGAAGTCGCTTAAAGTCGCTCAGTTCCAGAGAAGAAGTCGCTGAAAGCAGTATAGCCAAATTGTCCCCTTTTTACCCCGCCCCTCAGCCCCCTGGGGGGTTAGTCCCATCATTTGTAGTTTTAAATCCCCACCACCTTGGGATGCTTCCAGTCAAATATAGTTGATATCCACTTCTTAGTTCCAGAGAGGAAATCGCTTTAAGCAATATTGCCAAATTGATCCCTTTTTGCCCCGTCCCTCAGCCCCCCGGGGGGTCAACCCAATCATTTGTACAAATTTGAAACCCCACCACCTAGGGATGCTTCCAGTCAAATATGGTTGATAAAAATAGTCAGGACATCTTATTTTAATTATAACTGGATACAGTATCCTGTTATTCATTGCAAGCTCTACCATTCCACCGAATAGGATAATGCCGAAAATATTCGGATTGATATGTCTCGTCTGTGCCCCATTTTGACATCTGCCATCAATGCACATGTCAAGTTTGGTTGGTGTAGCACTTAAACGCAAAAACTTAATGTTGATGGAGATGCTGACAAAGTCAATAGACCATGAAAGGTAGGCCGTGTCCAGCATTTGATGCATGGGTTGAGATGTTGTACCTAAGATGCATCTATGGTCTAAGTTTGGTTGGTCTAGCAGTTATCCTTTCAGTGAAACTAACTTAAACACAAAAACTTAATGTTGATGCCGCCGTCGTACAGCACCTGAAGTCTCACTTCCGCTACTTTGTGGCGAGACAAAAATGACAAAGAGGCAGCCAAATTTGATATCATCACATAATTTGTTGGCCTCCATACTTGATCTGTTTTGTGCACATTGAAGTGCCGAGTTTTAATCATTGCATGGATTTCTTTAGTTAATGTGAACTGAATTCAACCTCAACTTAATAGTTGTGTTGTATAAATGATAAAATGTGGTTTGCATACTAACCCTGTCCTGGAGTTTGTGTGGCGAGTCCTGGCCTGACTCGGGTGGGGTGGGAGGTATCCGTGGTGACAATGTAGGGGATGGACTCGAACTGACATCCAGCTTTTAAAAAGAAAACACCATATCTATCATTCTAATTGTTCTGTTAACTACAAACAAAAGTTAACCTCAAATTTATCTCATACTCAATATCAGCTAGGAGAAAGTGCGGCATCACCTTGATAGGTCTGACAACTACACACTGTATCAGCTTTGTAAGATTTGTGAAATGAATGTAACAATTGTCTAATGCCAAACCAGGTTCTTTCAAACCATGCATCCTAAAACCAAGATTAATCGACATTCTAGATTCTTATATTCTCTGTGTCAAGTCATCTTCATTTAAGATTTTATACTTTTTTAACCTCTGTGTCAATTCATCTTCATTTAAGATTTTAGACTCTTATATTTACATATGCCCTTCCCATTTTCCATTAACTCTATGGAAAGTCAGCCTGTAGTTACTGGACAGTAACTGCAGTCTGCATTATCGGGTCATATGACCATGGATTCCGTGACGTCAGTGTTAGCAACCACAGACTCCCACCGATACGATAGCCGCAATCTTGTTGTTGTCGTTTGGTTCACACACGTCATATTTTGACGGGATTTGTAGACAATGAAGACGTCCAGAATAGGTAGGGGAGTTCTTGCTTTTGTATTAGAATGTACTGCACATATAATTAGAGCATTTAACAGTTTTCGCCTGGTTACATTTTTTTAATGGCGACCGTTGTTTGGAAAGTTTTCGTTCCGATAATGTCCGTCTGCGGCTGTTTCAAGAATTGGACCAGTGAGTTTTTGCGGTAACAGGAAATATAAATTAAGCTCATCCAACTAATTTAAAAAAGACAGGACGTATGAGGAAATGTGTTAATTCATCTTCATTTGACCAAAATGGTGCTGTCAAATTTCTATAAACTTTATGTAACCAAGGTAAACAATACGGGTACGACAGAGTCTTTCTGCGCGCGCATTGCGTCACGTCACAGGTAGTGGGAATCCGTGCTCCACGGATTCCACGTCTACCTGTGACCTCCCTTACCTGACACGCCACCCGACCCACACACTCTAGCTATCACCCGTCGAGAGAGGAGCTCTCAATTGCACGTTACCAAGCATCACCCCATAGTCCCTGGTAAGTCTGTGTTTTATCATTACTTCATTCCATTTCTATGTATTCATATTCATGTCATTGTAAATAAGTGTTGTTACAGGCTCCCTTGTACCCATCATCATCATCATCTACATTATTGAATAAAGACATCTAAGTATCATCAAATAGTCTCGAGTTCTACATTGGCGCCCAACGTGGGGCCCCGGGAAAAATACTCGGCCTTGCTCCACAAGCATCGCTGTTACCCCTGGAAAACTTGAGGATGAGTTCTTTCCTGGAAGGGGAGTATGTAACCCTGGTAAATCCTAGCCGCAATATATCGCTCGGCTATAGAGAACTTCTCTTTAGCTCGATCGGTTGAGTGTAAGACTAGTAAGCCAGAGGTCCCGGGTTCGATCCCTAGCGGAGGAAGTGATTTATATTTAATTAATCATGCGCTCTGTTACATTGGCGCCCAACGTGGGGCACGAAGCCTTTGGCACAGTTGACTTAAAAACCTGTGTGTTTCGATATTATGTTTTGGTTTTGGATGAAACATGTTTCCCATCAACTGTATTCTGATCCTTACCTGTAGTGAAAAACGAGGTGAGCGCCTGGGAGAGGAGGGACCACTGCCAGTCTCCGTCTGACTCACTTCAACAACAAGTTCCTCGCTCATGTCTTTGGTAGCTTCCTTGTGATGCTTGGGTGAGCGTTTAGGTGAGACAGAGGGACTTTTTGAGAGTCGCTTCGGTGAGGCTGGGACTGTAGACTGTAGATCTCTGTCCTCGCTACCTCTGGATAGCCGTGGAGACTTGCGCGGAGAAGGAGAAAGTGGAGCTATAAAATCATTACCTGGGATACTTATTTCCAGGGGTTTATTTTCCTCCTGCACTAATTCTGATGAGATTATCTCTTGCACATCATCATCAACCTGCGAGTTTGCATTGTCATTACTATCTATGGTGGACGATGAACACTGAGGCTCGGACAGCCCTTCGATTTCCCCCGCCGGCACAAGCTCTGTGCTGAAAGACACATGTCGGATTTGTCCTACTTGAGTGTCAGAGCTACACACCTCCATGTTGCTGCTGTCCGCCTCAGCAAACAAAGATTGGTGACCAGATTGTTCGGAGTGAACACTCTCCGAGGATAGGGGTACAGATTCCAAATTACTCTCCTCTAATCTGTCTGTTTTTAAAGAAGGGGATACACTACTACTTATGATCTGACTGGCGTTATGCACACGGTCGTCTATGGAAGTATTTTTTACATCGTCTGAAACCATGTCCTCATCCTCAGTTAGGTCGATCTCTATGGGGTCTTCCTTTTCTTCTGATATTACATTTTTTTCCTTGACAATTTCCTCCTCCAGCCTGCTGGGACCCTCTCCATACTGCTGGTATTTAGGAGTGTATCGACCCCTCACCGGGGACTTTGACAGCTTCACAGTTGGTGATCGGGGCAGACTTTTCATCAAGGGACTCTGTCGTAGTCTTAGAGGACTGTCATGGGTATCCCTTAGTGAGGTAAAGGGTGTTGGCATCTCAGGGGAGGCGGGCAGCCTGGCAACACCTTCAATTACACCCCCTAGGGGAGACAACTGTGTGGCACCATCTGGGGAAGTGCCTTTTACATCCTCTGGGAGTGGAGATTGTGTGTTGAAGGTTTCTGTGCTCTCGTCTGCCTCCTGTATCAGGTCTGTTGACAAAAACACACCAATATAGTCTTCTATGTGAAGGGTACAGAATACAAGGGGACAGAAACATTTGACACAGACATATTTTTTATCTACAGTCTCTCAAGTTTAAAAAGAAAAATCTGACAATGTATCAACACATATTAATTCACATTTTTCTCATCTTCTCCACATCTTGTAGATAATGTGGGTTTTCAGTATGAATATATATGCCCGGTATTAGTTCTGAAATCTATTTATCTATATATGTTTGATCACTTTTAAAGTATCAGGACCTTTTTTCAGCCTAAATGTGTTGGAGTAGAATTGTGTAACAAGAGATCCCAAAGGGTTCTTGGCGCCCACCATAGTACCATCTTCATTTGTTCTATGTCATTTTGATATTTTCTCTTCTTTCCTCTTATCTGTTTGATCAGTTTGCCTATCCGCCATCTTTATCAATCTTTCGATCAACCTCAAAAGTTAACATGCACAACGACCAAGGGAAACCTACATATCAAATTTGAGATGACAAACTTAAAATCTAACAAAATGGACGGCCGATATGATATGACATGATATGAATAACTTAGAAGAAGAGGAACCCTCATGTGAAATTTGAGAAAGATCCCTCCAAAAAAATTACGCCCAAATTCATTACAACTACCTACCGGCCATCTTGGTTTTCCAATCATCCCCAAAATTTGAAATGCCGAACTAGGAACCGTTGGGAACCTTTGTGTGAAATTTGAGAAAGACCCCTCCGGAACATTCTGGGAAATAGCATTAACAAACTTTCATTCTCAAATTGAAGATAGCTGGCTGTCGGCCATCTTGGTTTTGCGAGTCCAAAAAACTTGATATGCATATATAAGGATCATGGGGAACCTTCATGTGCAATTTCAGAAAGATCTTTAAAGTACTTTCTGAGAAATAGCGCTTACAAGAATTGTTTAAGGATGGAATGACGGAATGACGGACCTGTTTGGACGGACTGACAGCGACAGTACAATACAGTATTGGTTTGTTGGATTCCCTTACCAGTGCTATACAGTACCTAGTTATTTGTCCCCCGTTACTTACCAGTGCTATACAGTACCTAGTTATTTGTCCCCCATTACCAGTGCCATACAGTACCTAGTTATTTGTCCCCCGTTACTTACCAGTGCTATACAGTACCTAGTTATTTGTCCCCCATTACTTACCAGTGCTATACAGTACCTAGTTATTTGTCCCCCGTTACCAGTGCCATACAGTACCTAGTTATTTGTCCCCCGTTACTTACCAGTGTTATTTGTCCTGTGTATTTAATCCTCTTTGTCCCTTGACTTACCTGTGTCTCCTGTATTAAACTTGAAGGTGATGTCATCTTCATCCAAATCCATAGGGATTTCTGGGTGTGGTAGCTTCCCTTCTTCATGTAGAGGTGGCCGTCGCAGATCGTCCAACTTAGCATAGTTCTTGGGTGAACGGGAAATGCTACAAATACCAACCAGGAAAATGTCGATACCAGAATTCTTGTTAATATTCTGACCTCATCAAAAAAGATAAGCATCAATCTTAACCTCGGAAAATTTTCAGATAAAAGCATCCAATAATTAAGTTGTTTCTGATTTGGTTTCCATGTCTTAACTAGCTAGACTTGCAGTCATTAGGACCAGGTGTACTAGCTAGACTTGCAGTCATTAGGACCAGGTGTACTAGCTAGACTTGCAGTCATTAGGACCAGGTGTTGATGCTCCAATGCTCACCTACTTTAAAAACTGAAGTCACTAAAGTAATGACGGTGAATATGGACATGAGTAACACTATATGCACTCCCCTCAAATGGCGAAGGCCTAAAAAGTGCAGTAATTTCATACCTCTCTGGTGTTGGGCTTCGGTCTTTTAAAGATCTGGGGCTTGGCGGAGATACAGGTGATCTTCGACCTTTAGGCGTTCTCTGCACCTTGGCCCCTGAGAAGTGGAGATGTGTTGGCACTGGAGCTGAAGGTAAATCCTTGGGTGTATCAATAAAGGATACAGTTCTGGGGGAGCCCGGGAGAGAGGCCTCGTGGAATCCCAACTTCTTGGCAAATGGCTTGGAGACAGATGACTGGTTCAAGTCTTTAAGAGAAACATAGCGCAATATGAAATATTTCCGTGCACTTACACAATGCTACCTTAACAAAGTATTTTCATAAACCAATTCTTGAGGTAAATTAGTATGATGAAACCTTACAAAAATTCCTTACAATGAAAAAACGATGCTGTCAAATACAAATAGTAAAGGGTGGCACTTTCAGCTTAAAGACATATTTCAGTATTATAATAATGTTCTTTTTATTAAAGTTATTAACAAACATCAACAAGACAGTGACATATTCTATCGATCTCAAAACAGCAAAATCATGAAAGTACAACATAAAACATAATGAAATTTTATAGTAAATCACAACTTTCTGTGGTTGCTATGGTAACATCACAATTGCAGCCACATTTAAAATAGAGACTTTTAAAATAGTTGTATGTTTTTTTTATTGGCCTTAGAAGAAACATTACCTTCTGTTCCAGTCTGTGATGGTGATAGCTGAGTGGAGGGCGACCTCACGAGGAACCTCTTCACCTTGAGTATGGACTGGGGCGTGGCATGAGTTGAAAAATGTTTCTTAACTGGTGTTCGTCTCTGTACCTTCGGGGTCTCCAGCATGTTCAATACCTCTGCTCCAAATATCTTAGACCTTCTGCAAGTACATCACCAAGGGACTTGTATGTGAAGAAATTGAAACTGATAACAATCTTTAAGTATTATAATAAAAGGAATAATAAGATTTGAATCAATCATTGTTACCTTGAATCTATTTATACCACACCAATTCCACTGTAGGCTTTTTTTACCATCATACCACTTCATCATTCCCCTCAATTTATTTTGTAACCATTTAAACACTTGAAAAATGTCACCCATATATTTTGCAGTCAAGGAGGGAAACCTAAACAACATGATGACATACCTTCTGGACATCAGTGTGGATGGGCTCTTGGAACTTGAGAATGGAGTCAAAGTTGACAAAGCTGCTGGCCGCCAGGGTGTGCCCTTCAGCCCACTTCCAGGGTCCTCATGGATTTTCGGATAAGTCACAGGCTGGGATATGCTACAGATAAATAACCTTGTTAGCCTTATAAACAAAGTGGGTGGGAAACATTCCAATTCCTCAAGCCATTTGGTTTGAAATATTTTAACGTTTTGCATTGTGAAGTGCTGATTTTCTTAAGGTTTACGTTCACTGGTGCAGACTGTTTGTCTTGCTATGACATCAGCTTTTGGGCAGGCTGAAATAACGATAGCTGTGTGGTTTGCTTTGATATTTTGTTTTTTGTTTTACCATTTGAGCGAGTTGGGCTACTAACGATTAACATATTCAAGCATTTGGACGAACAAGACTACCTGCTGAGAAAATGGATTAAACCCACAAATTTAGGTTTCGACCAGTTTTTAACATTTTGTTTATAACATTTTTTGGCGATTATTTCTAATAAGAAACATACAAATTTTGGCATGTGCAGGTCACATCAGGAAGTCAAAATCTGTACATGATTTATTTAGAATTTCTAAGTGAATGGGAACACTCTTTCTCATTTTAGTTAACCTCGATGAATCATTAATGTATAATTCACATCAGGAAACAAACCTTCATATCTCCCTACTGTCTGGCCTACAAATGTAGTGATGTTGATAGCGCCGAGTTGGAAAAACCTACCTGAGTCTAGACTGTGGCTTTGGTGTGATGGGAGTACAAACAAATGGTCCAACAGCATCTTCACTAAATCTGGGTAAAAAAACAACAATACTGAATATTCATCTTCATGTTAATTGATTTTTATCCTTCTCCTAATTTCATTGGACAGAGGATAAATTAATATACACAATTGACAGGTACTCTTTCTTTACAGGCTCATTCAAACATGTAGAAATAATTTAAATTTGAATTTAACTTTAACCAGTGTAAGGAAAGAGGAAAGGTCTCCCAAGTGAGTGTTACAGTTAATCAGTGGATACAGAGATGGAGGTAATTGCCATTGTTATATAAAAGTTAAAACAGGGTTGTTCCCCCTTGCACACTTACTTTTCTGGGGAATCCTCCTCAAGTTTTACCTCCCGTACTTTGTCAGCTACCTCCAGAAACAGAGAGGCCTGCGAAACCACACGAGTGTGGCTGTTGTGTGTCACTGTAGTGGACAACGGCTTTGGTTTCCTCACTTTGGTTAAAAAGAAAAGTCTGATTTTACAAGAAAATATACAAACATGTATACATAGACTTTCAGTACAATGAAACCAAGGCTAAACAGCATCATTTCCGATTCCTTGGTATTCTATTCCATTCCTGTTTACATAGTTGATTATGAATTGAATTACTAGTAGGCAATGAAGTCCTAGGGTAGAGCCAACGCCGAGGTGAGTGGTGGCAGATAGGTTAGTCCCGATGTCCTTCGCTTGGATACCAGAAGGTATGCAGGGCGATTGGAGAATAATGGCAAATCTAAAAGGGTACATCAATCGCAACAAACTAGGGACTGGTTTTCTTGTGTTTATTAGTATGGTCTACTGGTTTCGACCGAACAGTGGGCTTCATCAGGACTAGTAGGCAATGTATACAAGGCAATTTCTGCAGAAAGAAGAGTCCATCGATTTAATTTCCTTCTGTTTAGAAACAAGATAGTAACTTCATCAGTTACGCTACCTTCTCTCCTCTGTACTGCATTTTTCTTCGGAATGTTGTGATTTTCAAAGATAAGTTTCCTCTGGACGCCTGACAGCACCGACATGAAACCATCCACGATTGCGTTCCTGGCCGCTACTCTCTCACGTGCCTTAGAGCTGGTCTCCGTCTATAAAAATATGGCAACTTTACAGGTTTGTGATACCATAACACCTATCTTACTGACAAAATGTGGTCAAGGCAGTTAAGTAAAGTGCTGGTCAAGTCAGCTTTTCCTCGGTACTGTAAAGATTACATCAATACCAGACTTAAAAAACATATCTTCACATATGTATTACAACATAATAAACTGAACTACAACCATATAGGTTAATGTTTTTAACAAAACTAGCAACCGGAGAAAACTGGTAGCGTACTTACAAACACAGTCTGTTTAAGCCTCTCGTTCAGTTGGATGGCTTCAACATATCGTGCCCGCTGGAGGTAGTGCAGTACCAGTACCTCCTGGGAATGTGGTTCTGAACTCTCAGTCAAATACTCGACCAGTTGGCGCTCCTCTGCATCAGTCAGTGGTAACTGGAGCAGCTGGTCCATGGTTTTCACTACACAGATAAAGAACCAACTATATATACTGTATATAAACAATAAAACTATTTTGAGGATTTTGAAGACATGTGATCACATTTTTACAAACATTACCGATTCTTTGCTCTCACTAATGCCTCGGTTTATTACCATAACATATTCACTGTACACCGGTAATTTTGGCAGAGGTATAATTTCACACTTTTCGAAGAAGGATTCAACTGCAAATTCAACAATGCAGCAAAAACTTCATATGTGCAGTGTTGACTGAAATAGAAGCATCTGAACTAATTCACAACACTGCAATATTAAATACTGAACTTAGGGATATTTTGGGGAAGTCAGATTTGACATGTAAAATACGGCATTTTATGGTTCCTGCTCGTTAGAATTTGGTGCTTTCTGATATCTGTAGTTATGTGGTTGCTCCATCAGTTCATTAGGCTAGGGTTGGTGACAGGTAGATTTTGAAATATCAACTCATTCACCCCTGAAGACACATTTGAACTCTTCCAGTTCAAAGGTTGGAATAGTTCATTATGAAATTTCAGGGGTGAATGAGTTAAAACAGACATAGAGGCAGTAACGTTCATAATGTTGACAAGTCCAGAGTTGTGCAAGTAAGTGACAGCACTCCTTCTTCTTTAGCCTGTTTACCCAGGTATTTTTCTTCAAGCATGTGTTAGTACCTAGCTGTATGGGATTTTACATGCTAACTTACTTTTGTGTTAATAATTAAAAGCAATGACAGTGACTTATGACCACATCCAAAAAACCAAACAACCCTTAGTATGGTACAACAGTGAGAGGCGGTTTACCACTTACTCTGCTGACAGCCGAGGAACAGATGGAACAGTAAGTCGTGCATGTTGGCCTGGTCTCTGTACGTCCTCTGATACTCCAACGCCTCAGCAGTAAGTCTGCAACAACATCACAAACAAAACTCTGGTTACAATAGTTTGAAAATCAGTAACTGCTAGTGTAAGACGAATGTATATCACTAGTCTACATCTGTAACAAGGCTCTATGCTAGACAGTAACCAAGCTACTTCATTAAAAATATCTCCAAAGACTCGCTAACTCCATTCCGCTGGTGCCTATAAAACCACCTACCACAGATTTAGATTATTTTGGCTTCCACATATATGGCAGATATTTTGAAATGAAACAGCACAAAATTAAGCAGTACAAAACAGTATTGTACAAGAAAAGCACCACATACATCTAATCCCATAACATGAGAGGCCGCTGGTCGGCCTTTTTTCTATCGGATATGATTTTGCCGACTGCGACATCTCATTTCCGAAGCACTTATTCTTTGATGCAGTTTCCACCCGAAATCCGGGCGGAACAAAATTGGCTTGAAAAACTCACTTAAGTCGTTAACAGTTCATGACAACGATGTCTACTCACGGTTTATATAATAAAGATCTCATATGTATGTCACAGAGACAAATATATAGTATATTACGGAATAGAACACTCAAAATACATGTCCATGTCGTTGTAGCACATCTCTGACCTACATTTTAAACATGGCTTCCTGGATTAATACAAAAGAGTAGGGGGATTTCAAACGGAACGGAATGATACGGAGTTTGTTTGTATTCCGCTTGTGAAACATTACATGTAATCCATTTTTGTATTAACCGGAAAAATCATGGCAAATGCTGTCTGCTTCGCTTCGAATGAGGAAAAACTCATTATTTATGTCTTTGACACAATTTTTTTTCAAATAATCATGGATTTATGGAAAGGAATATTTATTGTACCCTTTTGACCATTTAAATGTATGTAAACACAATATACTATTTCTTAATCTGAACTTTGAAAATGTGATCGTCAGCATCGGGAAAATCAGATATGGGCAGTTAGAGGTTACGCGGTGCCTGTCAAAAGTTTTTCGCCGTGTAAAACCTCTAACATTGTTGGAGTACACATACATCCTAATCAGCCTCAGACTATTAATGGATAGAGAATCAGTCAGAAATACATACATAAAGTCAAACTACTAAAATCAAACCATCATCATCCCTAATCTCATCTAACATCAATATGTTGGTGATACTACAGGCAGTTAATAGCATACTTAAATCAGAATATTTTCAAATTGTCTGACAAAATACTGTGACAATATCGACCTACCCACTGGCCAGGAAAACCGTCAGTTTGAGTTTAACATCCTCTGGTGATGTCAAGGGTGGCTGAGCAGTGCTCAGGTAGCGAAGGGCCATCTTGCTGGCCCCTTGGTAGAGTAAGGCTCGGATGATCCTGCTGTGCTGCCACCGACCCATCTCCTCATGAACCATAGGATTCAATATTAAAGACAACGCTTCCTATGGATTACATAAATCAGTGTTCATAATTAGTGCTAGATCTAAACACAGTTTATTGAAAAAGGCAAAGGAAGATGGTGTCCACAGATGATTTGGCAACTCAATGGCTAAGCAGAGGTGCAAAGAGATACACCTAAAGAAAGTTGGTAGGAAAAATGAAGATCCCAAGTGTTGTAATAGAGACAAAAGATCTGGTACAAAACTCATGGAACCTACACCATCCTCAAAACTTACGGAACTGATGTTGATGAGTAATCAATTGATTTTATTTAATAAGGTTAGTATTTCTGTATGAAGTCACTTTTGTTTCACTTCTGTTTAACTTTAGTTACCTCAAATTCGCTGTGGTCCAGTAGCCAGCATCCCTGGACCTGTTTCACCACACCCTGAGGTACAGCAAAAGTTTTTGAAAACTTACTGATCTTGTCCACAAACTGAAGGAGAAATCATTTCATCCTTTACTTGTATATCAGTGCGAGGAAAGTTGTACATGGCAATTTCTGAAATAATATGTGTGTGTAGTTACTCAAGTAAATAGGACCAGTATTGGTAGGAAATCAAAATACAACAAAAAGTTGTCGTCACTTTATATGAGGAAGCCAAAGAATGGCACTATTGGTGTGACTTGGGTGTGATAACAGACCTGCTGGTGCTGCTCCGGGTGGACGAGAGAGACGAGATCGAGGAGAATGTAGAAGACCACGCTATGTTTGGCTATAAGGTCGACGTCATCCAACAGGTAAATACTGAGCAGGGCCTAAAACAGTCAAAACGGGTCTAAATAGGGAATAAATTTCATAACAATAAATTGATGGAAGGGATGAAAGAAGACACGAAGGAAGAACATGATTATTGCTACACTTTGAGCTTTTGATAAACATTGCTTTGGTTTGGTTTAGTTTAATTTTGTTTAATGTCCTATCAACAGCAAAGGTCATTAAATTCCATTTTCCTTGAATGTACCGTAAATGAATTAATACTTTATTTTAGGTGAAATAACTTACATGTAGACTAGGAGGAGGGTAGAGACCCTCTCCTCCTTCTCGGCTCCACAGGTTCTTCACGGCCGGCCCCATGTGTGACAGCAGACCATCGATCATCAGCAGGTCAGAGTCCGCGAGGTCACTACAGACAAGACAGAATGACGTCAAAACATGTACAGTACTAATGATACACAATATCACAGTATATGGACGAATCATGCTCTGGTGATCAACTATTTCTTTTGGCCATGTCTGCATATAAACTGTTAACCATACTTGTATAAACTGTTGACCATACTTGTATAAACTGTTGACCATACTTGTATAAATTGTTGACCATACTTCTATAACCTGTTGACCATACTTATATAAACTGTTGACAATACTTGTATAAACTGTTGGCCATACTTGTATAAAATGTTGTCCATACTTGTATAACCTGTTGACCATACTTGTATAAACTGTTGACGATACTTGTATAACCTGTTGACCATACTTGTATAAATTGTTGGCCATACTTGTATAAACTGTTGACCATACTTGTATAAATTGTTGGCCTTACTTGTATGATGACCATACCTGTGCAGTTTGTGTAGCTCCTGCCTCTTGGTCCTATAGGCGTGTACTAGGTTGGATGCTGGGTAACTGTACCGCTGGTCTGTTCGGTCATCAGCATCTAAGATACAAAACAGCACAGGTAAAATGGTGCTAGATATCATAAGAAATTAGTGCTATTCATCAGAGCACAAGTACACTGGTGCTGTTCAACATTGCAAGCACAGGTAAATAGGTACCACAGGGCTTCCTAAAGATTATTCATTGATTTATTATTACAACTGAAATGCCTTAATAATTCTGTATCATATTCCAATGTACAGCAATTTAAGGTAGAAACTGATGTCATTCATCTTTTCCTATTTTGTTTTGCAACTGTATTTTCATTTACTTACTCAATCTACAGGATCGTACACTGAATCACACTCTACTATAGAGGTGGTGAGGTGCAGGCCCCACACCTCCTTGAGTGTGCTCTATTTATCTAACATCAAAAAATATCTTACTATCATTCATTGTCAATGCATACTGGAAAATGTAGAAGTTTCTCTTTCACTTTTATCATCTTATCTACTGATCATCAGTACTCTGCATTCCAGTACCCAGTAGTTCCACTGTGGCAGGTGAACACTGGACCAATATGGGTTTTACTGGTGTAGGCAAACATTTCACCAAAACATTACCTCATATGCAGTAACAAAAAGTATTTATGAAGGGTAAATAATGTGTAACTCACCATCATGTTCTGGCAGTAATCCGACCCTGACAAACCAGAGCACCATCTGTAAGTGTTGTGTGACATAGGTGAGGGCACACAGTTTGTTCTGAAGGTCCACAAATCCTGGAAAAGATGAGAGGGTTCCCAAATCCTGAATAAACAAGTCTATAACAGGGTAAAATCAAGGCAGAATTATAAACTAGATGCATGTGTAGTATCCATACATTCTTCCTGTTACCAGATGTCTGGATAATGATTCAAGAAACACAATAATGTACAAAGAAGGTATATCTCAGCAAATAACAATGGTATACGTATTCTAGATTGACATACACAACTATCTATGTTGGCAGTGAATAGTACCAAATTTTAAGGTGATTGGATAGAAATGAAGGGTCTACTTGTCCAGGTAAAATCTTGTCAGGAGAGATAGTGGGAAGGAATGATTCCAGTAGAAACCGTAAACATGGTTTGGGGGTCGGGTAATAACAAATAAATTACTATTATCTCGTAAACATGATACTGTTGTGTCTGAGAAAACTCACAAAACATTACCATCTCTCTCTCCTACAACAAATCTTGTGTTTCACTAGTACATTTTTATTTACTGAAGTCTCGGCTGTCAGTGATATACCTACCCTGCTCTGTGGTAGGTGCCGCCTGGTTCAGTAGGACCTTGAAGATAGAAGTAAGGTACTCCAACTTCTGCTGACACTGGTACAGTGTCTGTACAGACCTCTGATCTAGGGTGATGCCCGACCAGTCATACAGGGGAGTACCTGTGTGTTAGTAATAGAACATGTGAAAACAGCTTTGGACCAAAATCAGATTTTTTTTATTGTGTCAAAAATATTCTTTACATCACAAACACTAAACACTTTTAATTGGTGAATTTTACACTAAAAATGACCAAAATGTCCTGAAATTAAACTCTTTGAAAAACAGGAAACCCTGTCAGATATCAACTTACATGTGGAGTCTATAATGTTTTTGATAGTGCCAACTTTATTCCATGCCCAGTCCAGCAGGAACTTGAGGGTACAGCCTACGTGTACATACTCTGTAACCAAACACAAGCAGAAAATGAACATCTACTTACATAATATATCAGCTTATATCAGCATTGAGTCTGTTTCTGAAATCTGAAAGTGCCGACATTGATACTGGTAGTTGCTGTTTTTGAAATCAGAAATGTTACATTAAGAAACAGTTCCTAACACTCCCCAAAACAGGTGAGTTCATTACCAGAACTTTTGTTATCAACTTAACCCATACAGTAGTGGTGTGACAGTTTATCATGGAGCAAGTTTACCCTTACCTGTAAACCCAAACATTCTCAGCTTGATACAGCCAATATTAACAATTAACATTCTCAGCCGAACAGTTTTGTGTACTTTCTCACTTCTGTACTTTGCTTTGTTTGACAAACAATAAACAATGTCTGCTAAAATATCTGAACTGAAAATGATTTAATAGAATAACAATAATCAAGAAAAATATTATTAGCCAAGTGAACTGTCCAACCCCACATCCCACTGCTGATGTGAACATTACTGAACTGTTATTGTGGTCAAGGTTACTAACTCACAGCCCACTGCTGATGTGAACATTACTGAACTGTTATTGTGGTCAAGGTTACTAACTCACATCCCACTGCTGATGTGAACATTACTGAACTGTTATTGTGGTCAAGGTTACTAACTCACAGCCCAATGTTGATTAATATAATCATCCCCACCTTGAGGGTGTGACAGAGTAATCTCCAATCCTCGGGGTGATGTTTTTTGGTTGTCTAACCCTCGGCAGAGCCTCGGGTTAGACAACCAAAAATCACCCTGAGGGTTGGAGATTTCTGTTACACCCTCAAGGTGGAGATGATTATTTTTCTCCCATCCTATTATTTCAGTCACAGCTCCACCAACAGTAGTCTGTCTTATTTGAAAACAAAAACAAATGTGGGATGTGCATATAGTCATTCACTTTTGATGACGTCACAATTACCGGCGACGCATTTGAATGACGTCAGAATTGAACACATGCTAATCGGCACGAGCCTATCTCCCTCTAGGGGATGACAAGCTGATCTTTACCGGCTAAAACGTAAGACACACCTGTGAAGGGTGGGAGAAATGTTTATTATCACAATTGTTCTTGTGATCTGGTGGTCTACTTTACAACTCGGGTTCCTGATGTTGACGGAGGTGTTTTTATGGTCAACTTACCCCCGGCTGCCCACTGCTGAACACACTTGATGAGGAAGCTGATCATGTTGTAGTCGAGAGCCAGTGACAGCAACATTTCTCTCATCTCAAGCTGTAGGAGATTAAACCATAGTAAGTTAATCTGGTGACAAGAACTACCAAGGAAAGTCAAATCAGTGCAAAACTGCAAGTTGTGGATCTTCCAAGGAATGATGTAGTAACTAGAGTATCAGGATCAATCAAGGTTTAAAATTACAAAAGATGACACTAAATATTACAGAGAGTGTGACTTTACATTACAATAGTACAGAGAGTGTGACTATACATTACAATAGTACAGAGGATGTAACTATACATTACAATAGTACAGAGAGTGTGACTATACATTACAATAGTACAGAGAGTGTGTCTATACATTACAATATTACAGAGAGTGTGACTTTACATTACAATCGTACAGAGAGTGTGACTATGCATTACAATAGTACAGAGGATGTGTCTATACATTACAATATTACAGAGAGTGTGACGTTACATTACAATAGTACAGAGAGTGTGTCTATACATTACAATATTACAGAGAGTGTGACTTTACATTACAATAGTACAGAGGAGTTGACTATACATTACAATAGTGCAGAGAGTGTGACTATACATTCCAATATTACAGAGGATGTGACTGTACATTACAATAGTACAGAGAGCGTGACTATACATTACAATAGTACAGAGGATGTGACTATACATTATACAAAAGAGACGTACCGGGGTTGGAGTATGTGTGGCGCTGTCCAGTGGACGGGGTAGCAGCCCCATGTAGACACTAAGGCCGTACAGCTCTTTAGGGTTCAGTAGGATGGAGGGACCCATCTTGTTCATACTGGCCAGCACCTGTAATTAATAGAAAACTTATTAACATACAGGAAATCAACACCAATGGAAACATTTACAGAAAATGTCTTTTTTACATTGGATATCAACTTCAAAATGAAATTTTGTTTTTAATGAAAATTCAATTTTCATGATGTGATGATACTGGGCACCATAACAAAGTATGAAGTGATGAAATCAAACAAGATCTCAATTGTTTGCATAAAGGTCTCATTCAGGGACAAAAGCGAGATTTTTAAAATCCTTTGTTTTGGACTACAAGGATGGGTACAGAATATGTACACTGAGGTTACAGTGATTATTACCAAAATGAAAATCCATTTTATATTATTACTCACAATGAAACACCATTTTACACCGGAATCAATATTATAGGAAGACATTTATTTTATAGTATATCTTGTTCAGTGACCAACAGCTCCATCTGAAGTTATCACCAGACAAGTATTCATGCCGGGTCATACCTGTCGCTGTGTGCCAAGGTAGCTCGCCTTCACAAATCCCGATTCTGTTACCATTAATGCCTCTGTCAAAATAAAAGCAGGAAATCTTGGTGACCAAGCCCTTAGATGGTAATGATGAAGGAGTGAAACATGTTGTTCACATAGTAATGTAGACGTCACCAAAGTGACAACATTAACTCATTCACCCCTGAGATTCCATAATGAACTATTCCAACCTTAGAATTGGAGGAGTTCATATGTATCTTCAGTGGTGAAGGAGTTAATAAGCCCAAAAAAAATCTGTGTATTTATTTTGTCATGCATAACAAGCCAGCCAACACTTAACGGTCAAAATGGACCACATGGTAGATAATATTGTAGAGCAATGGCAGAAAGGGAAATATTATCTCAATATGTGCAAGGGCTATTGGTGTTTATATAATGTCCTCTTTAGCAGATGTTACAAAAGAAAACCTCCATCTTGTGGCAGTTCCCTCATCAGTCGTCTTATATGATCACCTGGGATACAACTGTGCCCATCTATTCTTTTATATAAGAGGTATTGACCATGAACTTTTTGGTGTATCATCATGCTATGAAATGCCTAAATATTTTCAGTCCATTCAAATTTCCTACTTTATCTTCATAAGATATTTTTTCAGAACTAGAAAGTTTGTATCTTTAGATGTGAAGTGAATCAGTAAATAGCACTCACCAAATGCTAAAGAGGATGCTAGAAAGTTTGTATCTTTAGATGTGAAGTGAATCAGTAAATAGCACTCACCAAATGCTAGAGAGGATGGGTAGAAGTGTTGCTCCGGAGGCATCGGAGAGTTGTTGGTGAACTTCCTTAGTCTCTCTGTCCCAATGTGTACTGCCTACAAGGAGAAAACTTCAAACCTGAGACAAAACCGTCACAGCGCACAACAGGACCTCAGTAACAAGCACTAAAACTGTCCAGAGTAAACAGCATACTTACCTTATGGACAGTGTTAACATCTGATGGTTGAATTTGTTAGTTTTATATACATCCGTTGGAATTTTATCAGAGAAAGCAATATCTAAACAATTAATATTCAGACATTGATTGTTTAGAGGTCCGACACAATGCAGAAGAATCAAACCCACATCTACTGACACAAAAGCACTATCTCCATGGCATTTTTAGCAAAAGAAACTGTTTGGTTGGTAACTTAAAACCAAATTTTGGAGCAGAAATAATTGTTTTAAGAACTTTCATAGATTAATTTTAATTTAGAATAAAGAATACTTTTCATCCAATGCATTTCCTTATAAACAAATCATTGATAGTACACAGTAATGATGGGATGCTGTTTTCAGAGAGCTGTTCACACAAAGGTTAACGACACAACCAGAGACTTACAATGATGTTGTCTGGTGCAGCTACATCAGCAGCATCCTCCAGACTGAGGCAGGCTAGATAGGGACAGGTGTCCATGATGCCGCTCACGTTTCTGTGACATTACAATAGGAAACTTTGTAGTTTGAGGAACAGCATACCTCAGGCCTCAAATATTACAAACTTACAGTTTATAGATATATATATAGAGAGATTTAGTGGGATCTCCTACTCTGAGAGACAGGAAAAGCAAGTATACAGGACTCATATATCTACAGCCAAAAAACTTATTGGTGAAATAAAATCATTTTAATGCCAGCTATTAAACAAAAACCAGCTAACCAATCAGAATCCAGTAGCCTCATTAATAATGCTTCAATGCATCACATGGCCATCAAATGTAGTCTTGAAACTGCGATCCAAAATTGGTTGAAATCGGACCATTTTAGGGTAGAACTTTATTGAACAAACACTCCTAAATTAATATCCCTTGTCTTCTCTTTAAGTTTCTTAACATATATTTTAGCCTACTCCGGGTTGCTACGTGTTCGTCAGTAGCCTACCTGATGGTTGCTGGCATCTGAGCATGGTACCACCTGTTCATGTCAAACATGGCGAGGTGACAGGTGTCGCGGGTGGACTGGCCATCACTGCTCTCCCACACCATCACACACAGACTGAGATCTGGGCCATGCACACCTGTAGGTATATATACATAGCTTTATACAAGTACACAGCTTCTGTATCCATATATCTGTTGTAACTTTGAGCACAATAATGAGAAAAATAAAAATGAATATCAAGCTTATCATTGCATACATAATTTCACCTGTACTCTTAAAACATCTTATTTACAAACATACATTTTTTGAAATGAATAAATATGGTAAATATTGTTTGCATTTTTTTTTTAAATTTGTGATAGAATCTTCTTCCTAAATATTTTGCAGCATCACTCAGCAAGGCAAATACAGAAGTCATTTCTATTCTTTTAGATTAAATACAAAACTTTTTAAATCTTGATATAAAAAGAGAAAATCCTCTGGAAAAAACAGACACACATCCCTGTAATAGGGTTGAACATTGATGTTATGAGACAAATAAAGATATTTTTAACCCTTCAACAAGGATCAACAGTATTTCAGCAATTTTTAAATTTTTGAAGACTTATGCAAACCCGTAGCAATGTTATAATTAGTATGTTTACATACTTTCCTCAAAAGACTCGTCTTCACCAAGTCGAGCTGGCGTGCTGTAGTTGGGGTCTTCGAGTGTGTAACAGGCTACTATTCTACTGGACACTGTAGTTTTGTTTCCTTGGGTCAGTGGACTAGATGTCAACTCCAGCTCATAACGCAGACTCACCGATGTCAATTCCTGTGGTATATTTACACATATTCAAAATATCTTATTGGTAAATCAAGAACTTAATATTTGAGTACACAAAATCTTGCACCTCGGCTGATAAGAGATGAATCTCAAATTAAGACCTTAGAGTTATAATAACAGTGTTGATTTGATATAAACCTGTTATTACTAAAATACTTTTGAACACTTCACCAAATGAAAGATCAGTAATTTGTGATAAAATGTAGAACATGATATGCAAAGAAACAAAATGATACAAACTAATCAGATATTACGATATAAAATCAGGCCTGGTGTTACCATGACAACCTACTTACCTCATAGAACGCTCCGTAGTTACTGTACCAAGTCTTCTTATTGTAGGCAAGCTGATAGAGCGAGGTAGTGGCCACACCCTCATCTCTGGAAAATAGGACAGTATGTAACTCTCATCAAGACATCAACACCTTAGCCAAGATTATATTCTAAAGGGCTAATTCTTAACTAAATATCAGGATAAATGGGAAGAGAGTGTTTTTTTTCACTTTAATACGAGTTTAACAGAGAGATAGAAAATTAACTATGTGACATACTGTTGTTCTGAGGGGTCCCGGGCCATCCACAGGTAGCAGAAGTTTTTTGGGTCGTTTTCTGGCTCTTGGTAGGCAATGTGTGTTATTGGAACAGCGTCCACTTCTAATCGACTGCTGTACCTGTGTAACATATCACAAAGACTACAGATAAGTAAACATAATGATAATCGCCATAGTTCAATTGTGTATTTATTACATCATTGACAAGTTTTTTGGTTGACAATAAAATTGTCTGCTAGCTCTTGTGAACTGTTCACGTTTATTTAGCTTAATCCTATTAACAATTCACAATTATAACTAGCATTTCTTACCCAGCTACTGTCACATTATCTTTGCTTCTACTATATACACATACTAATTCTAATTTCACTGAAGGGTTTATGAACTTGAGTTCCACGTATATGAAAGACTATATTTTTACTCAAACCAAAGAGGACTCATACAATTTAATGGTGGAACAACTGACTCTAATAAGTAATGTTGACTGACTGACAATATGGCCATATATTCACCAGGTCTTTCTCCCTAACAAATGATCTTAACTTTCCAGAAACCCTTTATAGATAGCACCTGTCAACTTTCATCCATTAGTTTAAACTCACTCAACCACAGGTATGTGTAGTTTCCACAGCTGGAAGCAGCCAAAGTTGAAACCCACCACCAGGTTGCCGGTCTGAGGGATATATTTCATACAGCTAACCTTGACATCATCTGTAAAACCATTTTTTTAAATTTATGTTTATCATGTCATCCAGAAAATTATTCAACATACTAACACACTATTCAAAACGCTCACCCTGGACCTAAAAAATCAGAAGCCAAGTGTGAATTTCAATTTTTATAAACAGTGGCCTTTCTTTCTCGGCCTAGAACCATTATGGATAAGCAATCCATTAAAATCTTTCAATATTTGATGTATTTTTTTGAAGTGTAATACTCTGTGATCCTTGGTAAAAACGTAAATCTGGCTTTCATTAAATCAAGCATTTGTTTATACATTAAATAAGATATACATTTGTAATTATTGTGATCGCTTTAAATGGACACAAAATACAAAACATGCTTCTAACATATCATAAATATGTCTTGTCTGTATCCCCAAATTAATGGAACAGTGTACAGACCAACATCACAAGCAGATAAGGTGTTAGGAATGTACATATATAAAGGAAGGAATCACACTAGTTTTGTTATGAAGCAGTGTTGTATACAGACCTGTGTTGAAGAGCTTGAGGACGGTGCCATCACATCGCCGGTACTGGTATTCACCCTGACACTGGGCCTCCTCTATCAATATAGACAAAACAACAATCAATACTACCCAAAACCTGGAGAAGGGCCGTACCAAACCCGTCTATTTTTAGTAACAGTGACCTTGACCTTAGAAATATTTCAAATGCTATTGCATATCTACATTTTAATTGTGTATCACCATGTCAAATTTCAGAAAGATCAGTCTTTTGGAAACAGAAATAATCTCTACAAAAGTGGACATACAGACAGACAATGTGATAACTATAGGCACCAGTATCAGATATGCGGGCCTTTAAGATAAGTTTATAGAAAAAAAACCTTTCACTACACATTTAAACATATACTACATAGTGATGTCGCTTTAAACATTAATAGGTAATACATATATTACACTATATTAGGTCATATAGACATTATTAAGTAACATAAAAACATATAGCTGGGATCTTCAAGTGGTTAAATAAAAGAAGATTACTTAATAATTTGATCAACCAGCTTCAGATTTCAAATATGGGTGACAGTACTTGTGAAAAGCTGTCTTTCATTTTTGTACAGTTATATTACAAAAACTAACCTTAATTTGTCAAACTGATAATTAGTATTGAAGGGAAATGTACCACACAGTATTCAAACAGTAAGTTTCTGCTATACTTAGATAGCTATATAATGTCTCTAACATGAAAAGAGCTCAAACGTAAACATCAGAACATGTGGAGAGAATTTTGATATAATGGGTCTAAGTAAATCAAATTTAACAGCTAGATGCACTGACCATCAAGAACCATACAGAGTTGCTGGCCCTTGGATGCACCCTGAATGCGGCGCTGCTGGACATCCCGTGACCGTGGAGTGATGAACAAGAGTCGGTTGGGCATCACTTCATCAGAGTAGTCGGTCTCGTCATCCACACACATATCTGTTATTAGAGATATCACAAGGAAATAGTAACAATATCTTACTGATCAACTCTGTCTCAATATATTGTATTTCCCTGTTAGTTTTAGAAGTGTTTTACAAAGTTAAGTATGAATACTAGACGAAATATTATTCAAAGGAAAAAAACTCATTTAAAATATGGAGGATCAAGTAATCTAAACCTCAATATTTCTGATAAATGTGTAATTTTTACAGCGTATACCATCAGTTTAAATGGATAGAGTATCCAATTCCTAAACAGTAAAACATGATCATAGCAAACTACTTGTCACATAATTAGTTCACAAATTTTAAGTTTAGAATTTGATCTTCACTAGATAATTCCTTACCAGCAGTCAATATCTATAAAAGGTAAATATTTTATTTAAGGGAAATTCAGTGTAAAAGAGCTAAGTTACCAATCAAGTACACCAAGCCTCCTTCAGTGCCCACTGCCACGATCCCGTAGAACTGACGGAGTTGTTCGTTCAGGGCCCACACAGGAACATAGTCACCACCAACTGCAGTCACAGGCTCCACATAGGTTACCTATCAGAAGTCAACAAATCCTACACATTTTTATAGTTTAAAAGGGCGAGTCCAATAAGACACATTTTTCCATCACCCACTAAACAAATGTTACTAATTATTATCAACTGTAACAGTCCTTCATTAATACCAATTATAAGATGATTTTTTTCCTGTTGCAATACAGGTATCTATAATTGTGGAGAAAAAAACCCATTATTTAATAACATTGCAAATTTCTAGAGATTGATCACAATGAAAGTGAAAATTAAACACAGTATACAACACAATCTCAAACTCATGGCTACAATGTCAGAAAGGATAATGTGTTGTGATATAAAAACTTGATTGTACTCCAACAAGGTGACCACTATAGGATACCGACATTCTCGGAGTGTGGGACCCTTCTGGTCTGGTGAGTTTATTAATAATACCTTATGAGGAATTTCCACAGCTTTTACAACTTTTGACAGGCCAACATCAAACATGCACAGCATTCCATTGTCTGACGAGTTGTTGACTCCCAACAGCAGTTTGAAATCTTGATTACAATTGTATTGAGCTACACTGGCAATGCTGGTGTGGGAGTCCTTAAGTATTGCACCGAATGTCCATGATGCCAGGCAATCCCGTGTCTTTGTGTTGACAACCTCAACCACAGGGCCATGGGTGATCCAAGATAACGCCCCCTCTGTAAACAGTCCACCAGATCATATTTGCATCTCAATAAGAATATTTCCATTAATTTACTTACTTATTCATGAATGCTGTGTCTCCATGTTTGAATTAATTTGTAACAAATCGTGATGTGTCTATAATGTGTGTGCCAATGATGTTATATAATTGATTAAGACATGTAAGTCTATAAAAGGCTAAAATCACCAATCGCTACAATAAATCAAGATCACTAAAAGTGGTCTGCTCATGATGCCCGGAGGTGGTCACATTACAGGTTTCATTGTGTACTGGATGTGTATTATATATATATACAGTAGGTTTTTTTGTTACCTAAACCTTACAACAACCTGTTCCTTTATGAATTGTGAAAATATAGCATTATTTGTATTGAAATATATTCCTCAGTTTTTGGTTATTTTGGGAAAGTAAGGCACTTTTTAGCTAGGGGAGGCTATCTGTATTTAACAGTAAAAAAATCATGAAGATTCTTTGAGGTGGAATAAGAAACTCAGAAATTACATAACCTTGCAGACTACATACAAAATACATATACACTTTGTACATAACACAAATATACAGTGGTGCACAACATACTAAAAACAAATATTCAAATGTATATATCAGCTGATGAGTAACTTGTTCACTGATTCTAACCATTGACATATATTATGCATTTACAATCAATATCAAATCGCACGTCAGATAATCAAAGGATTTCGTATCGTCTGGTTCTACATCGGAAAGTTTACCTTTAGAAACACCGGCACATATAGGGGCTCCCTGGATCACAGATCCAGCATTAATGTTAGAGATAGTGCCGTGTTGATAGGGCAGCAGCGGTGATACTAGGTGTGGCTTGGTTCCTGGTCTCATCTTGGAGATTTGGCAGTGGATTTTCCTGTAATGATAAAAAACTGCAAGTGTTTTTTAAAACAATTAATCTAATACACACAGGGTTTGTAACATGGGTTAAACACAAACTTAAATTGAACAAGATATCTGCAATGCATAGGCCACAATTAGAATTAGGAAATCTAAACCAACACTTTCCAGTAAGTTTACTGGTGATTGCCAATCACATCAACTGTCAGAGGTACCTATAGGTGTACTTCGAATTTACATACCAATTATAAAACAGTGTTTCTGTAGCCTTTATATGTGGGTGCACATTTTATAATCAACATAAATATTTGTTTAAGCTTCATGTTTACACTGTCCCGTGTGATAATTGTACAAATCTTTGATTAAAAATATGAGACAGCAAGAGTAAACACAAAACTAGTCGTACATTCGTAACATACACCAATGGATTTTTGGAATAATTATTCCACAGGAGTCTGACGTTTAATTAATATATGTATAATAGTCTATATATAAAAAGAAATACCCCGTATACTATAAAAAAACTTCTTTTTATTTTTTATAATATACGGGGTATTTTTTTTTTTTATATATATATAGACTATTATACATATATTAATTAAACGTCAGACTCCTGTGATTATTCATGTTTTAACACCTTACTAAATGATATTTCGATGACCAGATCCAAGACGATTCGGCCCTTCATATACAGTTATTACACTAGGTCCTTGTTATAAATATCGACGTCTGTATGCCAAACCAGTAAGGCACACATTGTCAGAGTTGTCCGTATGCGCTAAAAAAAACTAGCTAACCATTTTTACCAGGGCACATATCATCTGTTGATATTCGAATCGGTGTAATAAGGTAAGACCAAATCGGCATAACGGTTCAATTCAATGTACTTCCATTAAACTAGCAATGTAAGAACGGTCTAATTCAGAAAAGCATCTTTTCGTGTAAAATAGAGAAGAAACCTACACAAATGTCGCTGTCCTTATTCAAAATATAAGAACAACATAGAAAATCCACTCCCGGTACAGGTCGTTTAAACCGCCATCTTTGAACTACACGTGCGAATTTCAGACTTCTGCGCAGGATATAGCGCAGCACCGGAAGTTTACATTTCAGGTGACATTTCCCGGACAAATTTTGTGAAACAATTTAGTTTCTGCAAAATTTCAATGGACCATTACAGGCTTCTGATAATTAAATGATGCATTTTCCATACACCTTCATTTTTCAAGTATAGAAACACTTTTTATACCTATTCTACTCGCACAGGTAGAAAGGTCATGTTGATTGGTTTAATATTTGCCGCGAAATATTAAAACGAATTTGATTGGCTGTTTCGGGTAAAATAGGAAGTCACTGATGTGTACGGTACACATACGGTGTGTCACGCTATGCAAGGCTAGCAGTAGCGTGCGGTTTTCGATACGTAGTGTATATCATTTTATTTATAAGACAGTGTGTGCTGTTGTCAGTCCAACAAAATGAGATAGCAACAAAGTGGATATTCTGTTTTGGATTTTACCAGACATTGCCACAGGTGTATAACACCGTTCATGGCCAAATGGATAAAATAGAAGGTAGGTGTTTGTTGTGCAAACGGTGTAAATATTAACGTAATACAGCGTTATCTGGACGAAACAGATCATTATACTAATGTTGACATAAGTCTCGACTCTTCCCATGACTGCCAGTGACAGTGCATTCATATGAAAAATAGGCGTTTTAAAAGGCGATATACTGTGTATATAAAATACTATAATATATATTTTTGAGTTTATTATTATTATTATTATTATTATAGTACGGTATATATGCACATTATATAAACCGTAATTTGATTGTATGAAAAATACCCACTACTTAAGTACTTTCAGTTTGTCCCATAAATGTCCAACGACCAATGGAGGTACAAAAAACGTTGTATTTAATTTCAATACTGTTATTATATTAGTTTTGAAGACACTCGAATTACAGGATATGCTGGACTGTAAATACTTGAATTTTTTATTTTTATTATATTCATTAATTTTGTAAGTGTCTATTTGCTTTTTAAGTGGGATGGGGTAAGGGACATTAGATACCTATAGGTGGGGTGAGGTTTCTTTACTTACGTATATATCTGAAATGTTATATAGTATTTGATTTAATATATAAGGTATGAATCATTTATGATAATATCAAAGAATATGTTGTTAGGGTATTCTGAACAATGAAAACAAATAAAAATGTGAGGCATCTTGTCAGACTGAATAATATATAACACACTTAATATTCTTGAACCATACATACATAGACCAATCACTGTTGAATCCAACGATAAGCTACATGTATGTAGCATACATTGGCACCTATTTCAATGCATAGTTTTTATATAGAATTCATTTTAATTTAATATATACTTCTTAAAAGAATTATATAATACAAGTTTTACATATTGATTAAAAAAAAATGACATCCTTCATAAATGATGGTTCTATGAATAGAAAGATGAAATATTGATTGCATGTCGAAATGACACCTGGAACAAACCGGCCCGAACAAACTGAGTCGGCTGATTTGCATGATTTGTTGATTTTTCGTAGATAAAATTATTTGGAGACAGCTTGCTTATCATGATTATTTAGAGACAGCTTTCTCAATTAAATATCAGACTAAGGAAAATTAGGATAGGTGTAATTATTCTTAAAAAATATATTTTTAATTATTCATTAAAAACGTCTTTTTACGAATTGTTCAAGAACTGAATTAATTAGTTTTAGGAATTGTTAAATGCTGTTCATAAAAAGTGATGTCAGCAAAAGAAAAGTTAATACGTTTCACAGGACTAATTAGAATTACCTGCAATGTGTGATTATTAGTGTGGGGTATGTCGTGATTCAGGTATGCAGTGACCCGGTTGTAGGTAAGATTGTAGTCTGGTAATACAATCAACCCAGAAATGGCGGAATTGCATGATTACACTACATTATAGGTAACAGACAGCTGGAATTTTAAAGATCTTTCCTGTATTCTGTTAGGGAGACCTATTTGTTTGCAGTAGACCTATGTGATCTACAGATTTGAAGGTGAAGTGTTGATGTCCTCGGCTAAGCTGTGATCATTGTGAAGGCCGATAGGCTACGTCATATGGTTAATAGTCTAGGATTATAACCACCAAACTAGTATTTGTCAATATATGAGCAGGCAAACTATTTTTTTCCTTTCAAAATTTTATTTCATTCACTTCGACACTTCGTGACTTGTACATACCGGTAGGTGTATCAGGGTTTTCCATCAACATGACATTTAGCAATTTCACGCGAAATTAGATGTAAAAACATAAATGTTTCAAAGAAAAATTGCACTAAAAATGTATACTTATTGGATAAATAATATTCCTGGTACATCTTGTTTTATATTAAGAAAACACATATATTATATCCATATGCAATGAACACTAGAACTACTGTGAACTTTACCAAATTGTCAATTTTCTGATTTCTTTTTCAAACACAACAAGACAAAATGTCTCTATTTCATGAAAGCTGGCAATATTTCGGACAGATTTGAACTACCTCCAGTTAGCGCAATTTGATAATTCTGTATTTCAATATGTTTGTAGTTTTCTTGTATTTTATAATTTTAGAGAAGTTGTAGAGAAGTAAAGAATTAAAGAAAGTAAAGAATTAAAATTAGAGATTCAGTATCATCACAATTTTCTTAAAAGTCTGAAATTGAATTTGTGTTGTTCTAATACTGATCACCTCTAAAAAGTTGAAAATGATCCAAAATATTTAGCATTGTAATATATATATATGAAATGTATAACTGATGCTTTGGGATTTATTTTGGAGGTTGACACAACTATTCAGACTTTGTTGGTAGGAGACAACTGAAATCCTGCAAGACCCTCCCCTACACCCCCACCACAACCTCCTATCCTACCCCCCACCCCCCTATCCCTATCCCTACCCCCAAACCATATAGAATCATGGATAGATTATAGCTGTATTTGTGCCTGGATAACAGGTTTGATATTTACCAATATAACCCAGCATTAGTAACTCTGAAACTTAACATAAAAAACGTAAAATGAAAGAGTGTTGACTGGCTTTGTCTGGTTGTATATGAGCATCATTATATAGGTCTTTATAAGTATGATACCCATACAACAGGGAATGTGATGAAAGCGAGGTTACATGTATTATTATATTACATATTAAGGTCAGAGGTCACAGATAAGAGAGACCTGTTTCTCATAAAGCAATTATACTAAGGATACAATATAGCTGGTTGTTTGTACCAGTTCTCTACACATAAATAGTCATTTGTTAAAAAACAATACAGGACCATGAAGTTTATCACTGGAGACATGTTTTTTACTCAAAAAACCTAACCTGGTGGCTAAAATTACTGGGGGGTGGGCAATAGATGCAATCTGGGCAGTAAGCGGAATCTTTACAGAATTGACTACAGGAAGGCCCCCATAACATACATCAATACTACAGGAAGGCCCCCATAACATACATCAATACTACAGGAAGGCCCCCATAACATACATCAATACTACAGGAAGGCCCCCATAACATACATCAATACTACAGGAAGGCCCCCATAACATGCATCAATACTACAGGAAGGCCCCCATAACATATATCAATACTACAGGAAGGCCCCCAGAAGGTACATCAATACTTCAGAGCTCAGATTTCCATCCTGTATATATGCATCACAATAATATAACTAATCTTTTCATTTATTGGCGGATTGGTTGAGTGGTTTTCCAAGCACTCCATCCTTCCACACAGGCAGCCAGGGTTTGATCTCCGAAGTCATACGCATGGAACATTCAGAGAAAGTGTCTCCTGCGTCCAACAACCAAGGTGGATTATAAAATGGTCTGGGGTGGATGTTGCATTCAAGTGAGGTGGCACTATAAATGAAATAGAACACAATACATCTCCAGCACACACACAGGCATACACACATAGGGATATATTAGCCAGGTGGCATAGGACTAGTAGTTAGCGCCTGATAAGGCAGCTCCTGCGAATTCCTCAATATTGTATTGATTAATATATATGCTAATTGTATTGATTGTATACATTGATGTAAACTGTAAAGCGCTTTAGAGCGGCTTAGGTTAGCTAGATAGGGCACTATATCAAATGTTGTTGTTTATTAATCTCTCCACAAACCTACTAAATTAATCTTTGTTTTGATTATGGCTCCAAAGTCTGTCGAGTCTGTCGTAGCTTGGTCCTGACACCAGGTTTACATTTTTGTGACATATATTAAAAGGAATGTCCTACAGGTATTTTATGTAGACTGTTTCACTCCGTAATTGACTCCGTCATCAGCGACCACAACCAAATGACAGTGACAGTTGCTATTAATATCTCGTGTACCAACGTTGACTCATTAGAAATATTGCATTTGTTATATATTTATATTTTACGTTTTATAATCTATGTCTTTGTACATGCATGTACCAACTTGATTGAAACACCAGTCTACACTGTGATGTGATTGTGACATTAGCGACACAAGGTATATAGAGATATGATGAAATAAAAATGGTAGTTTGTGAAATCAAAGTCAAATGGGAATTTTATAAATGACAGTCAATTTATCCATATTCTCAGAGAAAATTAGAGAAAAGCAGTTAATCTGGAGAAAAGGGCAGGCAAGTCCTGAATATCATTTTCAAAAATGTTGGCCAAAGAGATAAGATTGGTTTTCAAAATGTGGGTGAGTCTCACAGGAAAGTCCAGGGCTCAAAATGTTGTGTCTCAGAAATCACTGGGGTGCTTATTACTAGTAGGAATACGGTAGGCAAGTTCAGTAAAAACACAAGCAAAATGTGCGGATTTGAAATTAAGCTTAAACATTACCAGGAATTTATATTTGTGAGACTATATGACAACTTAACAATATGACATATTTAAAGGATAATCGGGAAAGTAACTATTGAAAAGAGGATTTTTATATATTTATGTAGATCTAATATGACAGATAATGTTGATGCTGCTTATTGGTTTAATTTATGAAACACTAGGTGACTTTGAGTTGTCCTGG